AGTGGTTGGTGGCTGCCAGCCTGATTGATTTTGCCAGATGGAGTTTCCGTAATCTGGAATTTAACACCTGGTCTCGACATCTCAATGAAACCTAGCACCTCCCTGGCGAGGGCTGCCATTTGGGTGCCGGGTCCATCACCCGAGACAAGAGCGAGTCTGTTTATCTTGTTTGGCGAAATTTGTGTAGGAGACATCGGGGCAATATAATCAGTGTAGGTAAGAATGCTATCTACTCTCTGAGGTTGGGGAAATGCCAGTATATATACCGAACGAATCCGATGTCGGGCACTTTGATTGTTTTTTTATTACATTACCTTATGATTTTATTTGGTTATTTTTTTTGTTTTTCCCTGCAACTTTCACCCCGCTCATCTGAAACTCTTGTACTAGTTATCACTCAAAAGGCACAAGTTGGAGTGGATGTTGTCACATCCTAATTTCGGTGGATACAGGAATTTCACGCATTTTCAGTCGAATAATTTGAATTTATGTCTGGTAAACGAAAGGAGAAACTGTGGAACGGTTCCTGGCGACAATCTCTTCAGTTAACATGAATAATTGGCAGAAGTCTCAAGAATTGCCGGTTGGAGGGCAGCTCCTCTTGCAGATCCTGCTCTTCGTTAGCACCTCACTTTGCCAGTATAATCAATAATAAACTTACCAGAGCGGAGGAGAGACATGCCATAGCAATAGCAACATCTTCACGTTGAGCAGCCCTAGCACGCCACACATTCCGGCACTTCACTAGTGCAATAACAAGAGGTTCCCCAAGGCTACCCTGAATACTGCGCGGTACAACTTCAAACTCCAAATTAAGCCCTGCTAGAGACGAGAATGCAAAAGAGACTGCATCCGCTGCATTTTCACCCGCGGCCACGACTTCCCGTCGGTGACCCTTGACCAAGACAATGGCGCGCATGATGACACGGCCTGTACCATCCAGCTTGGGCGACACGTTACACTCAATGATCCGAGAATCTGCCTCCAATATGGAATAGTGTCGAAGGAACGATTGTGTGATTTCAGCCTCCGTAAGCCATCGCTCCTTCATCTCGGACTCAGATTTGATGATTTTCGAAAACGCTTGTTGGAACTCCTTGGGTAACTCCAGGTTCAAGGTTCGCTGTAGCACCCATGCCACGCCTCCTTTACCACTCTGCGAATTAACTCGAATGACAGCCTCATAAGTAGCTCCAATATCCTCCGGGTCTATAGGAAGGTAAGGCACTTTCCAGATACTGCGACCATCCACTGATGCACCATCCCGCCACTTTTTGAACCCTTTATTTATGGCGTCCTGATGTGACCCGCTATACGCCGTGAATACAGATTCGCCAGCATAAGGGGCACGAACAGCAACAGGAATCTGAGTGATCTTTTCAACCGTTTCCCGAATTCTAGGCAGATCAGAAAAGTCAAGCCCCGGGTCAACTCCTTGACTGTATAGATTGAGTGCAAGGGTTACGAGATCAACGTTACCGGTGCGTTCGCCGTTACCGAAAAGGCAGCCTTCGACACGCGTGGCACCAGCAAGCTGGCCAAGTTCTGTTGCTGCAACGGCGCAGCCTCGGTCGTTGTGTGGGTGTAGAGATACCACGACGTCGTTGCCCGTGAATGCACGTGCAAATATCTCCACCTGGTCTGCATATGTGTTGGGTGTGCAGCGCTCTACAGTGGCAGGAAGATTGAGGATTATTGGGATCTCTTCTGAAGGACCCCATGCCTCTTTGACAGCCTTGCAAACGGCAATCGCATAAGAACTCTCTGTGTCGGAGAATGCCTCAGGGCTGAACATCAAGTTCCAGGTAGTTCCTTGCTGGGTTGGATCATCCTTCGTGATTGATCTGGTGTACTCGACGCATTCAACTGCCGTGCGCAAGACAGCCTCTTGTGTTGACTCAAACATAGTTTGGATGAAGCTGTCACTAGTGGCGATGTAAAGACTAATGATTGCCTTCTTTGCACCGGTGACACTGTCAACTGTGCGCCGAATAAGCTCTTTTCGACATGGCGAGAGGACTTGGAGCCACACATCTGAAGGTGCGGAGGCAACGACACTACGAGTGAAATTGAATTCTGTGTCTGATGCACTGGGAAACGAGATGTCGATCTCAGTGAAGCCAACCTGTAGGAGCATTTTGAAATACTCCCACTTTTGCTCTACATTCTTAGGAAGATGTTAGTGTGGTGAAATCCCGAGGTTCAAAGATTCATATACCATCGGACATGCAAGAGCTTGATTCCCATCACGGAGGTCCGTCGCCAACCAGCGCGGCCTCTTTGTGATCCGCTTGGAGGGCCACGTCCTATCCGGGAGGTCTGGAGGAACAAAAGCATCGTATTTATCGGAGGGATTTCGAAGCCTAAATCTAGTCAATTGAATCCATGAACGACTTTCTCATCCCCGAACATACATAGGCATGGTAAACAGCAATAGCAGAACTTGGTTGTTTTCACATCCTTCTCGCAGCGTACATATCCTCATTTAAAGTATCCTTCTACTGACTTTACCCCTCATGTCAAATGCTAACAAAGACTTCCCAGCAATCTTTCCAATCATTACATGTACATCTTAGTCTTGTGCAATACGTAAAGTCGGTACTCCTTCAGCCGTGAATTGCCAAGGTAAGATTTCATTCCTTGACCTAGCGCTGCCGTTTCCGATATCGCTATCGGGGAGACAGTGTTAGTTCCCCCGTAGGCTATACGAGTTGTGAAATTGTGATAGTCTCATATTAGTTGCTCTCGCCTTAGTAGGCTCCGTGGGGGCTACATATGAAGACTTGAGCTAGTAGTACGCAGGCAGCCCCATTGGCCAATACCCCTTGCCACTTATGACAATATACATAGAGATTACTGTTCTAGGCCATCGTTAGACTATTGCAACATTGATCAGCCTTAGCGTAATCGATTGTCCGTCAAACCTACCCTATGCCAAGCCATATCAAAAAGGACAGGTGTAACCATAACAAATTCTCTTGGAACATAGCCACCACTAGGTATGCAGGGGTAGCTCCAGCATGCACATGTCTCCACGAATAAAGTACTTCAGTAGTGGCCAGACCATGTAAATATGCCTTGAGATGAGCTGGGCGTAAGCCCTAATATTGCGGATCCTCTATTTTGTCAGTTGTATGACAACGAAATATCTAGAGAAAACCAAATACAGCAAGACATTGGATCACTGGTGACTGCGCTATCGGCCTCATTTTATGACGACGGCTGGCGGGGTAGACCGCGGGGTGGTCTGATTACCAGATGTAAACTTATAAGTCATTCTATGGTCCAGCAAGAGTCCACTGAAAAGCACAGTTCATTTGTTCAATCATTGTTACAATGTCGATTCCTGTTCTTGACGCATCCGCTCTCTCTGAAGGGACTGCTGAGCAGCGGGAAGAATTTTCCACCAAGCTCCTGGACAGTCTTCAAACTTATGGCTTTGCAAAGCTTGTCAATCACACGGTTCCCGTTTCTCTTGTTAAGGAGACTTTTGATCAGGTAAAATGCCCACAGTTTATCATTAGAAAGTGAAAGAACTAACACAAGCAATCAACAGATTAAAGCCTTCTTCAAACTCCCATACGCAGTTAAGCGTCCTTTAAAGAATGACCCCAAAAACGGACAGCAGCGAGGATGGAGCGTTCCAGGAGAGGAAAAGACGTGGTGGCTTGAGAGCAACAATGGGGAGATAGAGGAGCCTAACTTTGGTGACAACAAGGTACGCACCATATCTGAGAAAAGGTTCTTGTAGTTCTAACAGTTATTTTAGGAGAGCTTCGACTGCGGACACCCCGACGACAAGCAATTTCCCAACGTCTGGCCACTCGAGTCTGACCTACCTGGGTACCAGGACACCATGGATAGATTTTTCTTTTCATGCGGAGACCTCACCCTAGTACTTCTGCAAGCCATGGCGGAGGGACTATGTCTCGACCCGACGGTGTTCACCTCCCGATGCACCAATGAGGCCAGCACAATCCGCATCAACCACTTCCCGCCCATTGAGCGTAAAACATTGGATGATGGCAAAATCAGCCGCATTTGGCCCCACAAGGACTTTGGAATTATCTCACTCGTGTTCCCAGACGTGACTCCGGGGCTGGAGTATGAGGATCGGAGTAACCCCGGCACTTTCATTCCTATGCCGTATGGCTCAGACAAGGAAGTTGTTGTTATTGTTTCCGAGACCATGCAGCGCTGGACAAATGGCCAGATTGGAGGTGGTCTCCACCGTGTGACTCGTCCGCGGGATTGTGATGAGGAGACTGTTCCCGAGCGGTGGAGTCTAGTTTACTTTAACAAGGCCGACCGGCATGTGAATGTGGGGCCCTTGAAGGAATTCCTTCAAGATCAGAAGCCGATGTACGAGGACTTGACAGCTTTGGAGTATCAGACTCTGAGAAACGCTGCTCACTACCCTAGTTAAGTTGATAGTTGACAAATGGAATCATGTACACAAATATAAATCCGACTAAGTAAGTAAAATCCGAACCACAACGTTGCATTTAGCTGGATCGATCAGGATAAAAGCCACGTGTTTCTGAGGCTCATACGGTCCTATTGGAGGTCGAATATACCGAGACACGCAGATGCATGGGACGTTTGTAGAAGACAACGTCAAAATGAAATCCCAACTCTTACTTGGCCCGGGGGTCAGGGGCCTCACATCCTGCCTATGTAATGTACTGTCAAAGCCCATACGGAATCTAATCGGAATGGTGTAATCCCTGTCTCTCACTTTCCACTCGGTGCATCGTCTCAAGTGATTCTGGCTTTGCATACTGTTTTAGCGTTGGATACTATAGTCTCAAGTAGGTATAATTTGTATAATTCTCCATTCCAAGCTGGTCGAAACATTTGTCCAATCACAGGGCGAGTGGCAATCGGGCTGATTCGCATTCGGAGCGGCCCGTAGGCCCACTTGGGTTTAGCGTTTATGCATAACCCACTTAGAGTAAACATGAAACCGCCTGGACACGAATATTCTTCTATTGATTGGTCTAATCCGAGTTCTTCATATTGGGTTCATTCACCAAGACACTCCACTCATGCTCATCCTCACCATATTGCCGAGCTTCAATCCATCCCCTCATCTTGGCCGCCACTTCCCACTGTGCTGACACCCCACACATGATCGTCCGTCCGTTCCACCGAATTGATTTAACCGAGCTGACAACAGCCGCAGTACCTGTGCCAAACACTTCCCCCAGATTTCCATCAGCACTAGCAGCCTCCAGCTCATGCATGGAGATACTCCGCTCGTGGACCGTCCACCCATGGACCTCTAATCTCTCCCGAGCCAATTGCAGCACACAATCACGATTGACACCAGGTAAAATCGTGCCGTCCAACGGTGGTGTTACGAGCTCACGACTCCCATCCGGTCGCCCGAGCACGATAAACAAATTCATTGTTCCAGCCTCTGTTAGCAAATCGTCTTCCCCGAAGAGCCAGAGGACCTGATCAGAGCCCCGTTGTCGGACCCCCGCTTCCGCCACCATGCAGGGGGCATAGTTGGCTCCAACTTTGTGACTTCCGCTCCCTCCAGGCCACGCACGCACCCACTGCGAACTGCTAACTGCCTCTAGCGTGATCACCCCGAGTCCGTTTTGGAAGTACGAGCCGACGGGTGATGCGACCACGTACAGAAGAGCCGAGGTCGGCGCGGATACGCTCAGTCCGGGATTCGTACCAATTAAGACCGGGCGAAGGTAGAGTGAGTACCCTCGGGTGCTGATAACGGTAATGGTCAGCATTCAAATTTCGCCACTGCCCAGGTCTTGGGTTACTTACGCTGGGATGTGCCGAGACTCTATCGCCACAAATTCCATTAGGAGATTCAGAAAGGCCTTGGCATCGAATGTTGGAAGTGACACTCGAGCTGCCGATTGATTCAGACGGGCGATGTTGACTTCTGGTCTGAATAGCCGTACTCGGCCCTGTGCGTCCTTGTATGCCTTCATGCCTTCGAAGCACTCAAAGGCATAGTTGAAGACTCCGGCGGTAGGATCAATGCTCAAATTTCCATAGGGAATGATGCGGGGCGTGTGCCAGCCTTCAGACTCTGTCCATTGTATCTGAAGCATGTGGTCTTTGACGATATTCAGCTTTTTTCTGTTCCCCTCACTGTTGGAAACATACCAGTGACAGTCTTTCCAAACTGTATTTTCTCGGGATCCGGGACTACAGCAGGCTGTTCATTTTGAAAAATGCGTAGCTTAGTGGCGTCTAAAACAGCTGCCATTGTGAGAATATATGCAATGGCGATACAGTTACCACAACTTCATTGTCTACATTGCAGAGTAGATACAACGATATATATTGTATAGTTCCAGGAGTGGCAGGTCCTATCTCGGCAACGGATACAAGTCTTGGCGGTACTTTTGAGCCTCCACGTACTCCATAGCCTCCGGGGCTGATTCTTGCACTCCGAGCCGCTAGTTTCCTGCCCCCACACATCCACGGGTAAATTTGACAGCTGATTCAGCGCTAGACTGAACTAATCCTGGAGTTAATTTAAGATCGGGGTTGCCGGAGCACGTCATCTCAGAATATGGAGACAACAAGACTGTATACGAGGGTTGAAGTGATTGCTCAATAAAAAAAAAAACAAATACTAACCGACATATTCAGCCTGGGCAATTTAACGGAAGGAATGCCGCTTAAGGTTCGGCCGACCATCGGCGGGTCATCTGTCCCACACCGTTGAGAGATTTCAAATGTGCAAGCCGAGTTAATGGCTTATATCATACGGAGTACTTCAAGGTAAATTTTCAGCATTCCCGGTGAACTCGAACTACTGTTTGTACTCAAATCTCCATCATAGCCCCTGGCCAATTTTCGGAACATCGTCCAGTGAGGTTACCTGGGTAGTTTTACAACATACGATTCATGGATCTGAGAGGACGCAGACGTGGAAGCTTGGAAGATTCGGAAATTTCCTTACTGGGATTAGTTCGGCATTCTAAGTGGAGCTTGCCGAGAATCTACCACAGAACGCTGATGAATAACAAAGAAGTATATCTACTAGCGTCATCGTTAGGCCGCCTCCGATGAGGGATTCTCTACGCTCACTGGTTACTACTGGACATCCTACAAGACTGGCCAATTATTGACGATTGATTGGCCCAATAACATGATACGTTCCATTTGGGTACGCCCTGCGCTTGACTTCCCCGCACGGTCTTCATTTGGATCTGAATTGCCATCACGTATAAAAGTTTCTACCTTCTATAATTGACAACATTCCCATTTCTTAAACATCCTCCTTTTCTCTTGTTGGTTCTACTTCGTGGACTGGTTTTGGCAATGGAGGAAGTGACGCGCTCACACATGACAGCAAACGATACAGAAAAGGGGGTCCAGACACCGCCAGATGAGACAAATTATGGGACTCACCTATCGAATATTGACGATGACACACCACTCCCGCCGATGGATGGCGGAATGAACGCATGGCTGTTCCTAGCTGCATGCTTTGCCATGGAGGCTCTCGTCTGGGGATTTGCATTCACCTACGGTGTGTTCCAAGCATACTACAGCGATATACCCCAATTCAAAGATTCTGGGAATATCGCCGTCGTGGGCACTTGTGCTATGGTAAAAGCATACCTACTTATAGTCTCACATCAATACGCTGACATATCCAGGGAATCATGTATCTCGACATCCCCCTCGTCTTCGCCGCCTACAGACAATGGCCTAGATATCAACGTCTCGGCTGTGGTCTCGGCGTGTTAATGATGTGTGCTGCTCTCGGCCTCAGTTCCCTAGCCACAAACACCAACCACCTCATTATTACCCAAGGTATCTTCTATGCCATCGGAGGTAGCATCGCCTACGCTCCCTGTATCCTACTGATGGAAGAGTGGTTCGATCGACGAAAAGGCCTCGCCTTCGGCGTTATGTGGGCCGGCACTGGACTCGGCGGCGCTGTCCTACCCATTGTCATTGAACAGTTACTCGGCAAGTACGGGTACCGTATTACACTACGTGGCTTCGCAGTTGTGTTGTTCGTCCTCACCGGACCGCTGGTCTACTTCGTGAAGCCGCGCGTGCCGATTCCCGCAAGTCGACCTAGCCCACCTGCCCCGAGCTTCCGGTTCTTGTTTACATCCACATTTATCCTCTTCCAGGTCTGCAATACCATCGAAGCTCTTGGATTCTTCTTACCGTCACTTTACCTCCCAACATATGCCGGTATGCTCGGAGCTTCGACGTCCCTCCAGGCTCTGACTGTTATCCTCTTCAACTCAGCATCGGTCGCTGGCTGCGTGATTATGGGCGCTATTATCGACAAGTTTGACGTCACCGTTTGTATCCTAGTCAACACTATCGCATCCACTCTTGCCGTCTTCCTGATCTGGGGATTCTCGAAATCCCTAGCTCCACTCTACGTCTTCTCTATTTTATACGGGCTTTCTGCCGGCTCCTACACTAGTACCTGGCCCGGTATCATGCGTGAGGTGGTTAACAAAAAGCCATCGGCCGAATCGAGCATGGTCTTTGCGTCGCTTGCAGCTGGAAGGGGTATTGGCAATTTGGTCTCCGGCCCCCTTAGTGAGTCGCTTGTTAAGGGCATGCCGTGGGAGGGAAATGTTGGATGGGGATATGGAAGTGGATATGGATCGTTGATTGTTTTCACGGGTGTCACAGGTGTTGTGGGTGGCGGAAGCTACCTTGCAAGGTCCATGAAGTGGTTATAAGAGCAAAGCTTGCTACAAATGGAACAGCACATTGCACTCGATAACGATACAGTGGGTGGAAGATAAAAAGATATTATTTTGTTATGATTTTGCTGCACTGTTCCAAATATATAAAGCTTGGTTCCAAAATAGATTGCCTTATAAACCCACAATTGCGTTGCAACATAAGAAACCAGCCAACCTAGTTCCAGTATTCATCACATAACATTAGTTTTGCGGTATAACTCTTTTGTACACTTGAGCCAGTCAGTTATCCATGATCATCTTGGTATCAATTACTTCGTATGCTATTTGTTATCTAGAGATGAAATTGTCTTTGCTGTCTGATATGCAAGGCAAACATAGCAGACACTTAACAAGACTGAACTTCCTGCTTCAAACCAACCTTGCAAACTAAAAACCCTAGCTTCTGATTATTGCTTACAAGGATACTAGGCCGCATAAACAGCCCTGTGATGTCTTTTCAGTCGTCTTCGATAAGAAATTTATTCAAGATTTCATAAAAGCCGATTTCGTTGTGAATATATATTTCCGGTCAGAGATTAGAGTCGTATTTCCTGTCTTCGTACTTCCTGCTTGTTTCAATACTGGCCAAATCGTCTTTCTGGGCCAAGTAGGTGAGTTGCCCTGCATGAATGTGTCTTTATTGATTAGTTGAATTCTCTATTTGAGTTCGTGCTTACGTTGCATTTGTGACGATCGGATTTCCGCCGTGACCTACCGCTCTAGAGTCCTTTCCTATTTCGGCTGTTTGTCTCGGTCATTAAGAGAGAGGGATTTTCAAGGTTACAGGGTCAGTGGTCATGTTGTTAATATCATAGAGTCGGAGGGAGACCCACAAGAGCTTCTCGACTGGGAAGTCTGAACATGATGATGCGATTCTTTTTATCTCGATCTTTTATTCACAGCCGCCAGTATGCCCAAAACTGATCGTCCTGATGCGCAAAGAGAAGCCATATAAAAGATTGGGCCGGAAGGATAAAGAAAAGGGTCACATATGAAAACATAACACTTTGGATATCTACCTCAATGTACCTCCGAGGCTCCGACTATCAAAGCATGGTACACTCAACATTTGTGAGAAATCGATAGGTCAGTTATAATTGCTATTCATAAACACTTCGGTCACCGGATGGTGACGCGGATGCCAACAGTTCTAGGAAAAAGGACACAGGGAGATGCCTCGCATATTATTCGTGGACTGCATCGCCAAGGAAGATAACATACCAGGGGCAGGGTGGGTGGCCTGATACATGGGGGGAAGCTATCCTGCCTGGAATGGAATTGCTTCAACGCCCAAGAGACCTGTACAGCATATAGGGTACACTGGATTGATATTAAAGCCACATCTATGACTGTCTAGAAAATCTGTCAGGACAGAAATTTTCACACTGCGGAGGTCAAACAAATGAGCCCAGCAACCCCCGTAAGTCATCCCGAGACGACGCCGTCAGCCTGCATGGATCTAGGCGAAAGCTCACGGAGCGGTGATCTTCCGTGTCGATCTCAATGCACATCTATGTTTCCGTCCTCTGGCGGGCTAAAAGTTAGTGAGTCCTGAGCTTCAGCTTGATAATGGCAACCCAAGGTAGGACATCAGGTTCCACCCTTCCAGGAAAAAAGGCTATCTAAGAATGTCAGGGTACTTGAATGGAAACCCAACAGTTGACTCAATGTACAAGTCATGAAGGCTGACCGAAAATCATCAGTCATGCCAAGATCTTAGGGGAATGATCGACAAAATACGAACGAGGCTGATTGTTTCCTTACTTACCCCACAGAAATGCTTACCCATGTTACACTACCTACACTGTTATTTAATGTTCAACTGCCAGGGACGTCGGAGTATAAAGAGGGGGCGATGTCCCCTCTGCTTCATTCCCATCTTCAAACGAACATCAATCCGTTAAATCAACCCGATTCCAATCATCAAGCTATAATATTGTCCAATATGCGTGTCATTGCCCTCTTTGCTGCCCTACTGGCCGTCGCCTTTGCCGCTCCCGATTTGGAAGCCAGACAGCAGGGTGAAGGCTGCAAGGTATGTTATCATCTTTGGCTGTCAATCAAGAGCGGAAGATAGCTTACATACTGATAGCTGATTCACGGAAGCACCTGCAAGTCACAGTAAGTACATTCATAAGATAGGAAATTGAAAACGGTCCTCACATATACATAGGGGTTTGGTCCAGTGTGGTCATACTGCTGGAAATGTCACTCCCTGCTGCGTATGTTCTATTCTTCCCTGGTTCTATTGCTACGAGCGGACATTTCTAATTTCCTGCAGAAACGCTGCTATTAAGCATCTTTCGTGGGGTGGAAGAAACGAATGATCCCCGCCGGGCGACCATTTTTAGGAAGTCAACACTGAAACAGATGGAATGTCTATATAGACCTATCTAGGTTCAATATCAGCCCACACATACAAAGTAAATAAAAGGCAAGCGGAAAGTGGACTTTTCCCGTAAATACCTATGTACTCCCTTCATTGTCGGGAACTTTGATTCAATATTTTGTTCATCTTTTTTTTTTTCGAACACGCACTCGCCCTATCCATCTATTTCGCCCTCATTACAAACACACAGCTGCCACGTTGAGAGCAGCTAGGTAGTCATGTACCGAATATATGAATGGTCCGATATTCATTGCGTTCTGGGCCATTCTATGTTTAGTCAAACCACAACGCCCTCTGTGGATTCGTAGTCGAGTGACTCGTGCCAGCGAAGACTGACAGACCAAGTTCACGCAGCCCCTGGTCGATTGCCAACTAGTGACAAACATGAGCTTAGCCGTATCAATCTTTGCCTGATGTGGCACCCACATAGTGACCACGACCTTTCTCACGCTACAACGAGGTTCAGTACAACAATTCCTTGTTCACTCATTATTATCCACGATAACACCTCCACCAGGCTGATGCCAAGATTTCAGTCATCTCGTGTTCATCAGATTGAAAGATTACTTAAACGGCACCCTACAAGTTATTTCCCGTTGCCTCTCCTTTCACAAACCGTCATGTCTCTTCCGCAGTGGCAAAATTTCACTCTTCAAACAGCAATGTTCCAGGAGCAAACAACAGACTGACGGGGTTAAGAATGCTGGGTTTGTGTCTGGGAAAACTATCATATTTCTCGCGGACTAAAGGAGCTCTCCCTTCCCACGGTGAACAGGCGCGCTACAACAGAGGCAATCGCCGACTAGACCTCCGCAGTGGACTCCTGGAATCTTAACACACGAAATATGTCATATGGTAGAGAGCCTACTAAAAGCATAATTTGAGCTTAGCGATATCTCATCTGTAGATCCTTCCTTTTCTGGGCAGCTCGACATCTTCCGACGTGAAACTGCAATGTCCGACATACCTACCGACCGGCACCGCCGCTCCAACTGCCCCCCACTTAATAGGCAAAAGCGCCATATCCTCATCCCCATTGTCCGACCGAACAGTTCTATTCTCGTTTGGATCAAAGTCCGGATGACACGCGGCAGAAATTGCGAAGCTACAGCTCCCCACTACCGGCATTGCCGTCTTGAACCGCTTGGAACTCAGGCCCAGCAGGCAGAAGAACGTGAATCCCCCAACTACCACAGCACTTACTATCGCGACGGGCGAGTAACCGCAGGTAATCAGATCTGCATCAATATCCCTGATCATTTTCGAGTCGAACGCTTCAATTCTAACCATAAACAGACTCTGTGAGATCAGCCAATGGAGGGTGACTGAGGCAGCCATGAGTGGCATGGAATAGCGATAAGGTATTGAGAGGAAGTATTTGCTTCGCTGGGATATTTTTGCGTTGTTCGAGACGCGGAGACCTTTACGATACGCAGCGTATCCGCTCCATTCGGCCGCGACAGTCATTGTAGTTAGGAGGCTGTTGAAGGCAAAGTAGAGAAAAGAAAAGATGAGTTGTGGCACATTGGCGATGATAACGTTGAGTTCCAGGTTATTTGGCCAGTGGGCACCTGTTATCAAGGTATCCGCAACGGTGGCTCCCAGTGGTAGGTCCCAGATAGACACGCCTTGTCCAATCCGGGAGAGTCCATATCCAAGTAGGAACAGGCATGCCGTGATGGCAATAATCCACCTGCTCAGGGCGTCAGAGAAAGACGCAAGAGAAGAAACAATAGCTGCAATCAATAGAACTCACATAATTATACTAAATGTCCACCGCCGAAGGGAGAGGGCGGTACCCCATCGTCTCCGCTTTGTGGAAAATGGTTTCGGCTCCTCCAGCGGTCTTTTCTTGAATGATTTTGGGGAGAAGCGAAGCATGTGTCTCACGTTACGATAGGCAAGTAGACAGCCACCTTGCGTGTACCGATCCGGGCGCCGTAAGAAGGAAGCAATAGCATCGCCGAGTGTCAAAATAGGTGTATCGGTATCTGGTATTTGAAGCCACATATAGAACAGGATGACGGTTTTGAGTAAGTTGAACAAAATCACAACCATCAATATTGTGAATGAGTACTGCAGCTTGCAACGTTGCTGCTCCTTCTCTGCTAGGCAGTAATCAATCTTGTAGTGTCCGACAGTCCAGTTGTCGATGGCAATTTGTGATCGAATATTGGGAAGAGAGCTCACGTTGCAGATATATCCCGCGTCACGGGGACATATCCAATCGTACGGACCACTCCTGCCAGAAAAGTAGTCTGACGGCTTGAATACAGGGTTTGTGTGGACCAGGCCATATGAATGGTTTCCTTCGCCATAATCAGTCACAATCAAAAGCTTGCTGTATACTTTCTGGAAGGTCTGAGCAAAGGCATCTAGGCATTCGGGTCCTTGTAGACGGTCAAGGGTTCCATTTTTTGCTGCGTAAAAGAGGTTATGTAGGGAGTCTTGTTCCGCCTCTTGTTGTAAATCCAGCACACTTTTCGAATGCAGGTCTGACCAATTCTCATGTGGAAAAGAGCCAGAGCCAGCAAATATATCGTAAGCAAACACCGCGGTTGTTTCGTAGATCGCGGAATTGTACCTATAGGTCGTGGATCAGCTAATGCAATGCTTGAAATGTATAGAATGTAAAAGGGAGCACGTGCATCAGGTGAAATGGAATGGATAAGGATCCCAGACATAACCACAAGATCGAGCGCCTGCGAGATACCCGGAACAGGTTGCGAACACTAGGAACTCCAATATCGAGCCAACTGCCCCACCGATGCACTTGATCTATATCCTTCCTTGTCGGAGCAGAGAGGCATTGCTATGCAAACTAGGTTAACTCACTATCAAAGCCGTGAAATACGAAAGGAAAGGTTACGTACCATTCCGAAATTGCTAGCACTCAATAGAGCTGTGCTCAACAAGTTCACGAGTAAATGGAAGCCAGTGCTCAACCGGTGCACGTTCTCACAGTCACCCTCGTACAAAACAGTGTTTTTTTTGTGGTGTTCACCCCGGGAATATTCATGCTGATATTCAATAGGGTAAAGATGCAGATCGTCTTGCCGGGGGTTTGCGGCGGTGTAGAGTAGAAAGCCAATGTTGAAAAATAGAACGACCAAGGAGATTACAAAAGCCACAAATATGGTGAACTTCCACCCTTCGAATCGGGCGCCATCACGAAATATACTTCTTTTGGGATTAAGTGGGGTCTCCTCATCGTCTGATGGGCTTTCTTTTGGCCCTCTTTCGGAATCTCCTGACCAGGCACTTTGAAGCAGATGATATGCACTCTTCTGAGGAGTTGAAATTGGTAGTAACTCAGTGCCCTGGTCAATTGAATCCCTACTCGACATTGTTTGACCAGGGATCTGCTCTGAATATCGATATTGAGAAAAGCGGGTCGCAAGGGATCACGCGGCGAGTAACATCCGTTCGAAGTAGTTTCATACATGGGATCGGGGTACGGATATCTCTAAAAACGAAAGGACGCCCAACTGCGGAGGAATGTTCGGTCCGATGGTCATAGTGGGAATTCACCTGGGTGATCGCAGGCCAAAGGAGAGATCAGCCAGGGGCTGAAGTGGGCCCGAGCAGCGCCATTTTTAGGGGGCCAATTTTAGGCAGAAGATCATGTCCCCGAGAGGCTCTAGACTGGTCGGGGGACCAATCATTTACCTCCTTTCAGATGCCTTCCCACGGCAGCTGGGAGCACTTGGACTGGCTTATGCACATGTAAGCACCCTTTGCTTTTTGTGCCAGTAATGCCAATACCAATAATGAATATTTCTCGATTAATACCATGGAGCTCTACTTCTCACGTATTTAAATGAGTGTATTCGATTGGAAATATATTGTATTCTAAGTCGATCTCGTGCATAAATGTGAGGAAGCATAAGTTCTCTGCCAAGCTGTTATGGTAGGACATTCTAATTTGAATTCTCTCTGCAACAATTCTCTGCTCAACTACAAAGGCAGTGATTTCCTAAGGGTGTTGAAGAAGAGTCATCGACTTGATCCAATAATTGGAAGTTTGAATCACGTACGAAGGGATCAATCGTTAAACGAGCACATCATTCGCTTATTCACTTGACTAGCAATTCTACTGAATCTGAGGTGTGTTGAAAATGCTGTCGACCCTGCTTTTTCGTTTCCATAGTCAATTCGGCGACAAAACAGGGAGCTTATACCAGACATGCTGCATGGCGTGCTTTTATGTCTCTCGAATGAGGTCCCGCAAAGTAGGTGAGATTTTGGGTAATCGTAGCCCTAACTGCAAGGCCTATAAGAGCACCGAACAACCTGAATGCCACTATTGTTTCTACTGCTGGACCCTGGTTATCGGAGGCACGTGACAGTGAGGAATGGCAATCCCGTCCAAATTCTCCGCAGGTATTTCTGGAAGGGATCGACAGCAAAGGCAGCATTTCGGAAGAATCACAGAGGCGTTCTCTTGCGGCTCGTATGTCCTGTTCCATGATCGTTTGGGGTGACTCGTTTGATACATAATTTCCATTCATGCAGTCGCATTTGGATAGTGATTCACAATCAGATAAAGATTGATTATGATGATTTAAATATACATCGTCAAGACATTCGTGTGCGCTTGCTGGTGCTGCTTCTCATGGTGCCGAAATCTTTTGGCTATCTCGAAAAACACATATTCTCGCCTGAAGAATAGTCATAAATATGCATATTGATGTGGGTTGTCCCTTTGTAAACAAGAGATGGCTTTCTAAGACCGATTGGTATTCAATAGCCTGGGTAGATAAAATCGTGCTGCATTCAATCTTTTGACTGCGCATGAATACCCCGGCGTACGGAAGATGCTTTGCGCTGAATACAACTCTAAGGGTTTGAATAACTTCAAATAAGTCTGGATTTTTCACAAAGGACAGTCGGTGCGTAGTGCCGAGTATATTAGTCTTGCTATTATAACTGATCCTACATACAAGGTCATAGCAAGTAATACCTCCCAGCGATATCTTTCTCTATCAATAATTCCTCTCAAAAGAGACAGCACAGACCTCCAAGTTTATCGTATAACTCACCCCTCTGGCACCGGGAGCAGCCGCCCATTACGAATGTTTGTTTCAGCCGTACGTCTTGACCTCCGACCTCCAACTTTAACTTGAATTCGGCCGACTATAGGCTGCCTCACTCTCAAGGGTGGGGTAAGCTTTTCACCCGGGTTTGTTGTTATCTAGCCCCTCAGCAAATAAACAGTGTCCCCTTTTTCTTAGCCTCGTTCGGAATACTACATAGTGGACCATCTATAGAACACGCGTTAAGGAGGTTTATTCCATGATACCTTAATATTAACAATATACACGTTTGACTGGTTTTCCCTTTGAATATATACAGACATATATTTATAGACGCTTGGTTTAAGTCAGAGTTAAGGTTGACCTAGGCGTCAAAATCGCCCGTATTTATTTTGAGTGTTCTTGAATTAGCAAAATGAGAACAATATATAGATGCTTTCTGCATCTAGCTAATTGCTAATCTTGTTTAACCCACCACTTTCCGAATATACTGTATATCCAGGTAAGGTATATCTCAGTGGTCCGAACCAATGGCGAAAGTGTCATGTAGCAGGGGTAAAAGGCGACAGATTATGGAACTGCTAATCTCTCTTACTGGTATCTAATTTACCCCTCATCTGGGCATTTATATGGCAAGCAAACACTCGGAAGATTTGCCGTACGTAGGTACATAGAATCCGTATTTTTAATGGATATTGATAATAGTTCAATGCACCTATATATTCGACGGCTTCAGAGCTCGTTATAAACGTAAAGATTTCTACTATATATTGTTCCCATAAGTTATAACAGCGTAGAAACCAGAAATTGGCTCTCGAAATATCTTTTTTTGTATCGTAAAATTGGCATATGGATAGCGTATTGATATCTTGACCAAGTGACCAACCAGGGCTGTTCATGGCGGGTCTTTTGCTTCCGGATCGGGAACTGATTGCCAGTGTTAGGACTGCCTAGGAAAAAGGGGTATTCGATCATTTTTGGAAAAATAACTTCTGCTTTTCCTACTGGAAGAAATCTCTAGTGACGTGGGCTAAATCCATATTGCCGCTTAGCTGTATGGCAAGGTCACATGTATACAGTTTATGCAGAGGGATTAGAATGCATGTCAGCCTCACTACTCCGTACACTGTGACGTGTACAGCTGAGGCAGGGCTAGGTACGGAGTACATGTAGATAATTGGTTCGCTGCTTATATATAAATATGTGACTGTGTTCGTCCTTGCATGATTCAATCAAATGCCACACTCTCCGATCAGAGTAAGAGGTTATAATAAACCATCCGCAAGATTGGAATTCTTCTGAACGATTAAACGAAAGTAAGAAATGCCGTGATTGATAAAGTCTTTTTATTTTGATTGTATTAACAAATTTCCTAGATTTACAGCCAAATTACCACTATATTATCCGAAATGCCATCCGAGGCTTTGTCACTAGCCGCGGTAGGCTGGTCTATCGCCGGAACAGGCATCATCATCACGGCTGGATTAAACTATAAGGGAATCCTTTTGCAACTCAAAGCGAACAAAAAAGACAACTTGAGCGAGGCGGAGGAAGGCAGGGCCACTGGGGTTATGCGTTTCATACCCGAGATCACAAATGTCCAGATGAGAGTCGATGACCTTATGCAATGGGCTAAACGGCGCAATTTGCAACTGTCTCCCATTGACCAAGAATATGCACGGTTAGCGGGCAGCTATGAAGGATTTAAAACGCTGTAAGTCTTCGAACCATTTCCCGCGCTCCAGAGCGCTGAAGCTAATTAGGCTGCAAAGGCACAAGTACTAGATTACTGGGGTGCTTTCACACTAGCTCTAGCTATTGTGATAATTCTATCCATTTTTCTCTGTATTTTCCTCATGTTGCTGTTACGGACCCACCTGGAGGGATGTCAAAAATTGACTCACGAGATCCAATGAGCTTGGAAGCGCGACGGAAGAAGAATTCTTCCGCTATGTAGTTATTCGTGATCAATCCTCATTGTACCTTGTTGTCTACTGTCACTTGTTTTCAATCTAGGTTGATATTGTTTGGTCTATTGCATTGCTGAACTTGTTGACCAGTTGACAAGGAAACTCGATCCAACTACAAGCCAAAATACAGTCTTTAGGAGTCTCTGGCCTATTGGAGCTGGTCAATTAGCCGATTAGAGAGCATCTTCATTCTCGTCCAGTTCCTCAAGGAAAGGCTCTCCCTTATTGAATAAAGTATCTGAGGAGTTAGGGAATATCGCCTATCCCATGGGGCCAAAGGTTTTGGGCCCTCAAAGTACTTGGTGGATATGCAAAGCGCTAATCAGAGGTCTGTATTTTAGCGCTCCCGCTCGCCCTACAGCCCTCACATCCTTTTAATTTCATACTTTCAAAACTATTAAGTTTATAAAGATTTTTCGATCGGAATTTGTGCTTTATTCAATTTAAATATAATCTCTAGGTATATACGAAATTCTCAGGGATCACGTGACCTCTGGGTTACTCCCAGCATACCATAGTCTCTATACCTAGATAGCTTTCTCCCTTCTCTACGCATTTCAATACAGTTTTCCAGAGCATATACTGCTTCTTGTAAACCCCGTTTTCTCACAGCTAATGCTTCCCTCCCTCGATGCTGCGAAAGAGAGATGGAGTTGTTTTCAAGAAGTGATTGGGACCTAGATCCTGAGATAGCAAAGGACTATAGAAAGGAATACCGCGAACGTCTTCAGTCTCTTTTTGACAGATACAGCCAATGAAAGGCAGTAATTCATAACTGAATCGGAGCTTGAGAAGGCCCTTAAAGGCAATTCTTCACAACAATTAACCGCTCTGCAGTACGACGAGCTCACCAAATATCTCCAGAGTGGTAAGTAAGCCTACCTTATGAACTATATAACTAATCTTACCTAATTAGATACTATCACAGGCTCTGCCTTCAACTATCATTGGGCCAAAGCCTCCTCTTGCAACGATCGATTTCTTGGCATCTGCACTTAGCCTCTGCATCCTGATGAATACAGTAAGGCGATTGCAGATCCATCTCATACAGCAATGCTTTCTCGAAGAGCCAAAAATTCGAAAAGAAAGGGAAGTAAAGAGAAATAAGGCAAATACCTAAACATCAGCTGATAATTTAGCTTATGTCCAGCATATACCCATTAAACTACATGTGCAATCCATCCTTTAGTTTGCTGATATTCGAACCTGTTCCCCTATTCCAAAAAAGAAAAGAAAAGAAAAACGAATACAAAAGTTCTAAATCGGCTTCCCAAACTCCTGCCCCTTCTTGTTCCCAAAGTCATGCAGAGGCAGATTCTGTGTGTACATAAATTTCTCCTGTTTGACATAAAGCTGGTTGAATCCTTGATAGATCCGTCCCTGCTTATTACAATTCAAATTGGCGCAATAATTGCGAGTATCCGCCTCAACGACAGGCATGGCGCACTGCTTGAGCCACTTAGTTTGTGCCGCGTGGTCTTCTCTCGGGACTTCCGTGTATACGGCTGAGTGGAATGAATCATCTGTCCCGCTTGAACCGTCGGTCTGGTGCTTCCAGGGGCAGCTGTAGGACCAGCGGTAGTAGAAGTAGCCCGTTCCGCCGTGGGGCATTGTTAATTTTTGGGTCTGGGTTGGTTGGTTGGGCGGTCCGTTGATTTTGAAAAGATGGAGAGGTAGGTGGCTTATGCGACTGGTTATGGAGAAAGTTTATGTTCCTAAGTCCTTGGAGCAGAGACTTGTATGCCGTGTGATAAAGGTAGGTATAGCAGAAGAAGAAGGAACAATATTAAGCAAGTTGATAAGGAGGAGAAGAGGGTATTTGAGCCAAGGTGGGAAAGGATAGAGAATTTATATCCGCCTATTATTTATAAATGAGGGGTAATCGCAAGGCTGTGTTTCAAGCGGGCATAAGTAACGAGGAATATGGCAGCCGATAGCACTTGTGTCAATATTGACCACTTGTTCCCGTGTGTTCTGATACTTGTAGGGAAAACCATGTGACGCGACGCGGCATGTGTCTATCTCTTGTCCAGCTTCTTTTATATTTCTTCTGGGATTATTTCTGGTCGAGGAGCTGAGTGAAAAAAACTCAGCAATGGCAGACTGAATTTGTGCTCTCGGTTTTTTGGTTTCTACTATTGCGGCAAGAAGAACGTAAAGTATCGCAGTCAGCATTCTTACCCCTCTCACTCTATCTTTACCATGCTCTCAACATGTTCTCATCTCTCTCACCCCAGTCTCCAAAATTCTTATCTATACCACTCACACTCACCCTAACTCACAAACTGACGCTATTTTAGGATCCAGGGCTCTTTGGCTATTGACCGCGTTTAGTATGTGTGTGGCTTAAACGCGGCCGAGAGTCATGTGGATACCGCTCAGATGAGAAATAGGTGCGCACCACTTTAGCATCGCGCGATAGGGTTGGGCTGCGGGTAGGCTGAGTGGGGTATACCGTATAAGTGAGAAGATAGTATATTAATCAGCGCTTAGATATACTCCGACTCATTGTTATGCAGTGATTCCCAGTGGTGAGACAAGTTGAAATTGGTAAAAATATCTGAGGAGCCAACTTCTAAAAAGGACGCCCTCTTGGCTAGCCAGATATTTGACTCATACTCCATGTCATCTTTTGAACAGCAACTAGCGTTGAAAGTTCGACAGCCATTCTCTGTTCCATGCACTTGGGGAGCCCGTTGTTTCGTACAGTACAGATAAGCATGTACCAATGGGTAAGGGCGGCTTGGTAAAAAGCAAGATAAGCACCCTCTCTAATCACAAGTTCGGCAAACCTACTGATGCCACCATATCATGAAGATCGCGCGCCGTCTTTGCTTTTCGACGCATGCAAGTCATGACTCGCGTAGACGAAAGCCACATACCCTAAAAGACATCGCATGGCTCCCTTCCACCTGCATAGAATCAACCCGTTGGCAGCTTGTGGGCACTTAAGTTTGTTCGGCAGTATCAGGTGGGGACCGAGGTTTTGGATCTGTTGGAACCAACCTCTTTACAGGGATAACCGCAGTAAGCGCATATTGAAGAGCCTGTGGGTATGTAGTAGACCAGAGTGGACGAGATTTACTGGGTGACTCGAATCAAATGAGGTCAATCTAGCCACTTTCAAGGTCATGCGCGTTCTACAAGAAGTGACGTGTCGGTAGCATTCAATGATGGACCTATGATATTTTGCGATGGCAGTCTAACTGCATAATGAATAGCAACGAGATACCACCGAGAACGAATAACACCATTATTAGCAGAGCCCAAAGCTCAACAAGAGAAAGCACCCTGGTTCGTCATAGTCTCATGACTACTACGATTATTTGGTATTTCAAGTGCACATGCTCCGCATCTTAGCTTTGGACTTTTTTCTGCCTCCCACGCACACCTTAGATTCAGAAATATTCCTACTTGCCTACCAAATTTCTAGCAAGCACCTGTGATAATCTTTGCGAAGAGTTGTTGACATCATGCCCTGGGATCTATGCAATGTATGCTTGATAAAGCAAAATTGCGAGGTCTGCTTTGTCTACACATCAGAACTCAGAGTCGGGAAGATGTTTTGTTCTTCGTGTATTCCACCGAGGGAGTTAACGGAATCGGATGAGTCAAAGAAGTCAGAGGACCAACAGTAAGTTATGAAAATTATGCCCATTTGCCTAAAGCCCGTTGATGACTAAAATTCTGGGCCTTGCGGGTAGACCCCCTCAGGGATGATTGAAACCGTTGCTCTTGGCCTCAACTGAGTAACAGCGAAGCGGAATTGCCTTATGTGGAAGGGGACAGATATATGTATTGCATGATCCATTCGCTTGAACAGAGATGTTTTCAGTGATCATTGAAGTGTTATTTGAGCAGAGCATTCATCTTCCTCCTGCTGTGCTAAAATGAGTTCCCTACACAATAAAGCCGCCGACATGGTGTGTGAGACCAGTTGTGGGACAAGCATAGTATTGGAATAAGTAACATGAGTTCGAAGGTTGTGTTCTTTGAGTTGAACCCAATATCTCGGAAATGGGAAAGGGGGTTTCAATACAGATAGGAAGTTAAAGTCAAGCAAGCAGTATATGGATCTTCTTCTGAAAATTGAAAGCTGTAGTATTGTACACTAGGAAACTGTGGTCTTTTCTGGTGATCTCGCGCTATATCTGTCCAGAAGGCTGGTTGCTTTACACTGCATCTGCAAATGAATAGTAGCAAATCTAGATATACTCCTTGTTCAGACAAAACCAGTAGTCGGAATACAATGAGATGAAATAGGTTCCTGCTTTAGTGCACTTCCAATTCGGCTTCTGCAAGAAGGCGTATGATTACCTCCCTCTCAGTTGTAACCTGCGTAGGGCCATTCCCGCACAAGGAGCCGCTTCGCCTTCCTTTTCTCTTCTTCGTCCCCATTACTTTCTTCAGCACCACCTATGCTTGTGGGATCCACTTGCTGATTGTTCCTATTGGCAGATGTGATGATTGGTGGGATCAGCTGCAATTGGGGGCTATCTCGGGGTGGCTTAGCAAACTGACCTTTGAGACTATTTCCCTTTCTCATTGATAAGCTAAATGGCTTCGGGCTTGAGAGGAATGCCTTGCCATTGGAGAGGCTTGCTAATCATTGCTGCCTTGAATACAAAATTTCCCACATTCCTTCCCCTTCTACCTTTGGACCCAGTCCCTCTACTTGCTATCACTATTTCAACATACGTACATCCAAAGTGACATTCATCAAGACCCTCCTCCTGGAAACGACACCCTATCGATTGTGTCAACTGCCGCAGAAGTTGAATGCCCATTGGTTGGCTCTCAAACACCTACGAAGACAAGGGCTCGGGTTCGGACACCCGATAGTTGGGCACTTTCGAAATGAATGTAATCACTAGCAATTTTCGCTGAACTTCTCAAGGCATACGTATCATCCAGACGCAGGGTAAGACTGATAAGGTTTTAGGAGGGACACGAAGAACAAAAAAGAAAAAAGCAATCTCAAATCATGCCCTGCCGCCCGGCCAAGACTTACACCCCTTGGCGGAGGGCTGTGATGTGGGCCACCGGGGGCCAGTGCCAAGTCCTGGGCTTAGCACATGCAAAAGACTACCCTTTGGAATTTTCTGGTGATCACTGGTTTTTTGCTAGGGTTCTGGCCTCGGTCAGGCTATGGCAACCTATCTATGAGTATATCCACCTACTTCATTTCAGTTCTCCTTTCCCTAAGGAATCATTTCAGCGAAAAGCTTGACCAATCCTCGATGACTAGGCCAGAAGATTCTAATCGGCAGTTCAAAAGTGTGGCCCTATATTTCATTACTACAGCTTGTCTAGTTAGCTTCAATTCTGAGTTCCTTTTTACCGCACCCAAACAAGTTATTATGTCTTTGGGCGAGGAGCACTACCGTTAGGATAAACTCCAAGTGAAATACCGGCATGTCCTTAGATGGGATATAGTGACAACTACCTCCATGGCTATGCTGGCCGGGTAATGCCCGGGTAATGCGCTCAGTATGTTTGCGGTTTTACACCCCATTCAAGGAGTGAGCCCAGCCATACAGAATAGACCAGCATTAGATCAACGTATACAATCACTTCGAATTGGATCAGGGCTTCTAATAATACTAACCAACTCCGACACATTATGGCAGTAGACTAAAGGTTCCATCAAGATACACGATTTCTAGGCACTCTTTTGCCAGGGGGCAACTCCAACGACTACCGCTTACTGCTATGCCACATCTTACAAGATACGTTCGAGCACTGTAGTAGAAAACTCACAATGCAACACTTCGGGCCCTTCAATGCTTTATATGGTGCCTGGCGGCAGTAATGTTCAAATTAATACCACCACTCGGACTTCGACTACAACCGATTCTGCCAGTGAAGTTCCAGACACATCTAGTAGCACCTTAGACAGCATATCAAAAGGCACGGGCCCCATCACAGACGTTGCATCTATCGCTACATCTGAGAACTACGCTCCGCCGACACCAGTGCCTTTGGTGCTCGTCGGCGGGCTACTTTCCGATTCCTCTAAGAAGACCAAAATTCGACATTGAAACGAGCTTACAGCAATGTGCTTTGATTACTCGCTTGGTGATTATTGTGGATTGTAGTCTTTTCATGTGTACGAGCCTTTACCGAGCTGGTGTTTGATACCTTCACTAAACATTTTCATAGACAATCCGGTGGAGATTGAGTTGCTGCTGCTGAGGCCCTTAGAATGAGATGTTAAATTGTAGCCAATCATGGTACTTGCCTTTAATTCTTACTTCCTCGCCCTGAAAGCCTTACTTCATATCAATTACGTGTTCCCATATCTTTTTTGGCGTCGACATGCAACTTGCAGTTGTTTCGGCGATTCCAGCAAACCCCGATCACAACACGCACCTCGATTATATGCCCACGCCGCATACTGTTTTACAACGTGGACCCCACACCACGGGGTCTTCCGCGGTCCCCACGGGGGGCGCATTCCTTGCTTAACCGCTACAATCCCGCTGCAAGGAGCCCCAATCCCATCTGCAAGCACTCCATATGCGGCATTTGACCTTTCAGCCCAACTATCCCAAACTATCTAAGCTTGATTTCCTCTGTAGATCCTTTCCTAGCTCGCATACACGCAGTCATGGGTAACACAGCGCCTTGTGGCCTTGAAACTTGCAGGGTCACATCAAGTATCAAAGAATCAATAATGCCAGTGTCCTTGACAACAGTCACGACGCACTTCCTTCCCCTTTTGATATACGAAGGCTTCGTACCTGGGGGGCTATCTCCCCTTGGAGCACTTTCAACATATCGAATGCAAAAACTTGCATTGGCATATCTGAGAGAGCTAGTTAGTATAGCATCACGCCCATTTTCTTTACTAACCCGACACATTTCTGTTGTTGCACCATGCTGAGACCAAATCTAAATTCATTGATGCTTTCCCTGGGGGTGCGGACTGTTGACCCTGTGATTTGATATGCACCCAAGCTTGTTAGGAAATGATGAGCATTAGGTACTCCAAAAAAAGCACTTCACGGGGAACAAATGGTTCAATACACCACGAGGGCTGAAGGAATACACCGGCCCAGACGATACACGACTAATAGCCAAGAAGCCGACTGTTCTCAGGTATGTGAGGCATTGCTACCATTGGGCAAGTCGTTCAATCCGTAAGCTTCTTGCCAGCATGGCTGCATTGGAAAGCTGCATTACACTCAGCGCCTACCACATGAGGCTCACAATATGCTGTATAAAAAAGGGCTTCACGACCCTCCATTTTAAAGCATCAAACTCATCCACAAACCCTCCATCTCAGACCCTTCAGTCTATATCTGCTATTACCTTAGTCTTCCCTGCAAGATCTTGATTCAATTCCATCATCATGCAAATCACCAAAGTTGCCCTTTTCTTCTTTGCTGCAATGGGTGCGGTGGCCACCCCGATTGAGCCCGTTGAAAATGGCCTTGACGCTAGAGCTGAGGCCGGTGTCCTTGTTAAATACACCGGAGTGAGTAATTTTGTGAACTATGTGCTTCCATTGCTCACCTGGGATCATGGCTAATCACTCGGGACAACACTTCAGAAATGCAACAGAGCGAAGAACGAATGTAGATACAAGAACGATCGTGGAAAGACCACTTTCATTAAGTGCCCTTCCAAAATCGCTAACAAGAGGGTATGTTTCCACAGATGCCTAAGTAGATCACTGACTTGTATCTGTGCTAATCTCGCTCTTTCGCTTTTCAGTGCACCAAGGATGGTGCCAAATGTACCGTTGACACATACAATAACTCTGTTGACTGTGACTAAATAGTCTCTGTGATGAGTCCAACGGCTTTTTGGTGTGCTCAGCATCTCTTGTTGGTGATATGCGAGACGCCATGTGACTCTCGAACATAATTCATTCATCTACAAGGACTACTTATAAAGACCGCTCGGGGGGCTGGTACATATACACCTAGTGTCTACTCGGCTTTGATTATACCTGGGTTTTGTGTTTATCATGAACACATTCATATAGTATCTAGCTAGATGTCTGTGCATATTAAGAACCTCCTTGTTATTATCGAGACTATCCAGAATCTTGTAATCATCTGTCCATAAAGCTAGGGCAGGAAGATAATTTACGCCCAAGATTTTTTTGGATTCAGGTTGGCGTAGGTCAGACAATGTAGAACTTGTTCAGGAAAGCTTTTTTGCTATGCAAGCTACCCGGCACTCCATTCGCTCTTACATATAATTGCAATAGGTTCGCCTCATTACCCTTGATATCAATTCAATGTCGCTGCTTACATCAAGGTAGAAACTAGATGTGAGTGTGTTCCGTAAATTTTTAAGAATGAATCACGGTTATATTAAATCTCAACAACGAATTTTGAAATTATCTCCATAATTTCCGAGAGAAACATAGGTTCACCGTAAATGATGCGAGCGTCCTGACTGCAACAGAATTCATCACCTAGCCAAACACAGTTATAATGTGGCTGGGTGCTCTAAGAGAGATGGCTACACTGATGGTAGGTGATGGAATGGGAAGAAAAAGTAATTTCGAATATAACACTTCGATCACTCCATGTATAGCCCCTTTGCTTTCAAGGCACATCTATAAAGACGGAAGAGCCCAACTTCCCAATAAATGTTCCATCTCTGCATCACGCCCAGCACCAGCAGGCACATATTGACTGAAGTCCAGCTACGTAACTACGCAAAGCAACATCATTCTGCGGGTGGAAAGAGGTGCGCGAAATGGATTCCATCCGAACCGTTTCATATGAGCGTGCTAAATTTAATGTAGCAGTTACTAAGCCAGATTCTGCGGGTAACCTTGATGATTACCATGTACGGAGATCGCTGCTCTGAACCAGTGCTACTTTCTCGAGTTTCGGACTACTCTCGCAGATCTTTAGCTCCTATAGCCCAGTATTCTCTACGAGAAATGTTCCCTACTGGATATTTCTACTCTACTCAATCTTCGCCATGTCAATCGCTGTGCGCAACAAATATTTAGAGCAACACTTCGCTACAAAAACACCATTATCTGTGGTTTCAACGCCATCTGTATTATATTAGAAACCAATGATGCATCTTGGTTCACAAGCTCCGACTTCTTCGAAATGCTCCGTACGAAGGAATCTCATATTTGTGGCTAATGTGGCGCCTTTCTTTGTCTTCGATCATTTATGAGCTCTTTTTTCTCTTGTGACAACACGTCGTACATTTGGCTTGTTGGATGGAGGCAGAAGGCCTAGATGCGTGCTTCAGGGGGAGCGACTCAAAGTGGAAACACCGTGGGAGCCATCGGATACCTATTTGCAAGCCAAGTCAAGATTTCTTTGTTACGTCTCACCTTGGCAGACCTTGCTAATATCCCCTTATTATTCCTTAGTGGAAATGGATCGATGGTATTTGGGCTTAGATGCCTGACCCCTGTCCTTTTTGACAGAAATACCTGCCGATAGCCATCCCACAGTTGATGCCACCCGATGAGTCCTAGATTTGTATCTGTAATAGTATCTAGTGATGAGCAATTGTTCAGCCCTTCCGATTGGAAATCTAATATTTTGTCTTGATATGTCTGCAATGTACGCAATACTACTCCACAGGATAGCCGATAAAGATAAACTCCCAGTCTCGCTATAAACATACTACGGAGTACATTGAGGGTCTTTAGTACATTCCAATTACGATTTAATCGCCAGACCTCTCACCGCCACTCTTATGTGATGTATATGCAGTTCGAGTGTGGCTAATCACATCACACGAGCCTAACGAACCCAAAGTCCGGGTTGGCCTATTACACTACGCAATTCATGTGCTCATGCCTATCGTGGCGTCTGCATAGTGATAGAAAAAGTGGAGACAAATTAAACGCCATGCTTATATTGAGTCCAAAAAAAGCAAACTCCTACCACTCCGTAGTCAGCTACCTATTCCACCTTCGCCTGATATCTCTTTGACGAGGTGCACCATTTCAGGTGCGTGTCTATGAAGGTCAGAAGTATAGTCTCAGGGATTGGCTCGTGTACATCCCCACTCCGTATGATGTGGAGTTGTTCATAAATATCCACCGCCGCTGAGAGATAAAGATTGTGGATACCACATACATCCTGAATCGTCTGCGGCAATATGATATCCATGTGATCCAAATCCCTGCCCGCTTGTTCCTCCAAGGACACCAAGACTGCATTCATAGTTTCGCCATTCCGGCGGTCTTTCTCTAGACCTACAAGATCATTTTGTAGCCCTAGCACCAAACCAACTCGCTTCAGGAGATCCCAGAGGCCGGATCGATACTTTGTATCCATTGGCTTGTGCAGGGTGCAGATCAGAGTGAGAAATGGATTGATTCCCATTGTCCTACCGCGGAATTGCAGGTAGGTTTCCAGATTGTTAGGCAATATGCCTTGCCGAAATAGAAGCTCGTCAAGCATGCCCTCACACATATCGCATATGTCATGGCTGAGCTGGCGAGCGGTTTTTTTGCAGAGATCAAGTTGTTGGATGCAATATTTTTGAAAGAAACAAAGGATTGACGCGACTTTGTTTGTTGGAGAGACTATTTAGGGATGAGTTGGAAGGACTTCCGAAACTGATTTCAATACCCTTACCGTCTGCCTTCTTTCCCTGGAGGTTCAAAATTGCCTCTTTCAAAGAAAGTGTGGCTGCAACTGGCGGCATAGCTTCCAGTATGTCATCTACAGCGCAGTTTGTAGCCAGCCATGCGGTCATGCATATGCGAATGTCCTCCGATTTGACGTCGGGGAAAAAGAGGTTGATTGAACTGACTTCTGCAAAGCATCTCTCGTAAAAGTCCTTGGTATCTCCAGTGCTCTCTTGTTGGATGAACGCGTTGAAATTAGCGTGTGAATAAATGACAGCCGATGGAGGGGCTGGGTCAATAGCGACTATGTCGTAATGAGGAATCTTGAGCTGCAATCAACTTGTTCAGTCAGTGTTTCACTAAGACAAATATGTAATTTGACGAACCTGGAGGGATACGTCACGTATACCCAGGGCAATTTCACATGATTTGATCACAGGCTCTTTGTTCAAGCGCTTATAATGTGGTATGTGACTTGTGTTGATTGGAGTGTAAACCTGACCAGGAGGAGATATGACCCCATGTTGTTGTGAAATCTTATACTCGCATAAAGCCATTTTCAATGCTGATATTCCAAGTCAAACAAAAAGGGAGCATTGGATGATTTCTACAGTTTATATATCCACTCCAATTTAGACCGGCTAACACGGAAATATGGATAGCATGGAGGGCCTGTGAGTCCTCCTTCCACCGAAGGCGTTTTCTTTGTTCATTACGTTCATATGGCCTTCAGTATGCACGTGGGAAATTCCCTCATCTATTTCTTGTACTATGATAGGTCATATTAGGGACTAGTTCGGCCTAATTATGAGCCAACGTTTTTCGGGAGAAGCTCCACGCATTGATCCTTATCTGAATCCCACCCGAAGAACATCTTCCCCACTTTGGATGCAACTAGTTGCGCTAAGTGGAAGCCCGCACCGCGTGGAATATCAATGCGCCGGGCGCTTTTGATGCGTAAATGCATCCATCCAAACGTGGCAACAAAGTCCCAGGTTCGATCGCAAGGTATTCCCCACTCATCTTCGATCAGTTCCGATGGATGAGTTCAGATGGAGCAAGAGAGACATATTGAACTATCGCGCCAGTATGCAGTGATTTAGGAGGTCGTGTCAGGGCTCTTCTATCGATATCTAGATTATCACAGCATCATGTGTAAGCACTGGTCGTACGACACAAATGTAACCATGTATGCTTATACAAGCCTGGTGATGAGGAAACATAGAATCATGGCATTGGTTCGAAGCGGATGGTGCGGATGCTCATTCATTCATGGAAAGGCGTGCATTTTGAGCCGGAACTAATCGGACTTTCCATTGACGCAAAAGGCAGCATGTTCATTATCATTTTCAACACATTAATGTGCACTAGATTCAATAGAATCTGAAATAGAAGAGTAATCAGAGATAAGGACTTTATCCAACGCAGATACGGTATGTTTTCGAAGCCGAGGCGCCGACATGATTTGCTCACCCCTTTTTACCACCTTGCTGTTGTCTATATACAATGGAATATAAGCTCTCACTTTTTCGTGTGGCTCTTGTCTCTCAAGTAGCTAGTCCTCGTCAATCTAAATCTACCTAAAGCAACGGCTTTATGAACTAGGTGACACCTGTAGTAACATAAGTTCTAGAGCTTGTCTGCATTATCCAAGGCAGGGTAGCAAGACGAAACGGATGAAACAGTCATCAAAAGCCCCCTAGAGTCAAGCTTTCTATACACTCATTATATCATATATTGTACATAAAAAAGGCACTTCTACTCTTTTGAATATTCTATACCCCATAGGATACTTCTACTATATAATTCTTTACTAGGGGTTTCTGATTTGGCCCCCTCGACCTAAACGGGATTCTTGGCTTTTGATATGGTCGAAGTGGTAAGATACGCTGTAATTTGTCCAACATAATTTCTAAGTATAATTTGCAACTGATAATTCATGTTAATACACAATTCGCCTACATGAATTCCTTAAACAGACTTTATTCTTAAGGTCAAGCTCTATGCCTAATATCTAACGTTGTGATTATGATAGATAGATTTTACTGAAGCTTCCCTCTGTATTGGACGCCCATACAAAGAGCAAATTTATCATTAGTATGAATCAATGCTTATTGTGCAGCTCAGAATCTGAAGAGGCATTCGGGGCGGAATCGAAACAAATCCTTATAAAAGTTGGGGGCGAAAGCGAAGGACTAAGACAGCTAAATCTTCCATTCCTTATGATTATGTAGGCAACGGTATCAAAAGACCTGATATCTACAATTATACCAAAAGAGATATACGAGACTTAAAAGGGACAATTGAAAGTTACTCAGAAGGCAATCACCATGCCCCTTAAGGAGACTACTGAAATGGCTACCCAGAGTGTTATTCACAAACCCACTATAGGGAGGGTTGAAGTGATTGAGTGGCGGTGATAGACTGCTATATCCTGGGCCCCGGGGCCGGGGAAGGCCCCGGCGGTGCGTCCATACCGTACCAATTCTCTACCACCGAATATTCCCGAGATCATAAATAATCACTTCGATTTGGTGGTTTCTAAGACGCGCCGCGCATAGATTCTGAATCATTATCACCCAGAGCTCATGAATATGGAACATATGCACTGATCCCCAATGAATGATCAACTACCTGTTGTGCACAATTTTATTGGTACTGCAATAGGATCCTCTCCGATATGGCTCATTCAGCACCGAAAGGCTTGACAGAGAACTGTCAAGAATGCATACTACCGGTGTAGCTTTCTGGGAACTGTGTTGGGGTCCGTTCGGCCCATTTTCGTGATCGAATCCCGTAAGCTCGATAAAAAGCACCTCGCCGCAGATCAGAGTTTGTTTTCGGCGATAACGTGGGTGAACTGACTGAGTGTGCCGAGGCAAACGGGGGAAAAAAGTCAAGAGCCAGTCCGTACGGAGGTCGGCTGTGATGGATCGATCATCGACACGAATCACTAGAACGGCATCTTCTCTTGCTCCCTGGGGATACAGCACACATCATCACCACCCATGTTAACATACTTCATCCTCGACGAGTCTCGCCGCACAGCAATGATTGCAACGAGATGCTCTAATTGTGCCTGTGACAGCACAGGCATATCGAAGGACTATCCAAAATTCTGGGCGTGAGTTTTGTAGTGGTGGACTTGGGACACAGCTCTTGCTACCTTTGAATATGACAGTCTGGTGGGCTGCCGAGGCAAGGCCGATGAATGGTGTATAGGTCAGGAGGTCGTATGCGAATTAGAATTGAGATCACCGAGAAATCAAACCCATGTTGGAAAGGAAACGAAGGTTTCCTTTTCTCATTCAGCTAATCTGTTGTATCAGGAACAATATATCAATATTTTGAGATTTCTCAACTCCCAATCCACTGTACATATGGGGAACGGTGAACTGTAGATCCAATATATTAATGGCGGACGAGGCAGGGGTGGAGGGGCTAATGCTAAGGTGCATAGTGGCTGGAGGTTTTATGCCGGAATTATGCCTGGATTGAGACTGGCAGGAATTAACATATCTGTATCACGATAACAGGAAGATAGGCCTTGATAAACAAAGTAGCTCAAAGCTTCAGGTTGAGCCGGCTGGTAGAACTCTGATATCTTTCCTATCGATGGGCTCGAATCGCGTTATCCGTAATGCTGTTAGGGAGCATATTGATGATCTTGTCCTTGAAAGACTCGAGACCAATTAGTGGAGGCATTTGTGCGGTCGGAAAAGCTCAACGCCTGAGTTGAATTCGAAGATCAGTGACGTATGAACAGGTTCAATCTCAATATCCTATTGACACATGGTACAGAGCGGTGTTCAAAGCGACCTTAATCCAGGCATCACCACTCAAAAGCCATACATCAAGACCCCTGGGCGCTGGCAACCGACCACGATTACATAACTCTCACAGCCACACTTAATGATCGTTGGGATTGTCGCTAGCTTAGTTCAAATTGCAGAGCTCGGCGCCAAAATATCAGTCAAGCTCTGCTCCTTATGCCCTTTTGTCAAAAATGGCAACGACTCTATGCGAGCTCTATCTAGTGATGTATCTCTTACTTGCAGTTTGCTCCGTAAACTTAGTAAAGCCCTCGAACAGGATTCCGAGACTAAATTTTGTTTGTCTGGAGCTTTCAGCACTACGCAGGATTTGTTGAAAGAGTGCCAGACAAACTTTGAGAAAATAAATGAAGAAATTGAGGAGCGTGACCAAGAAAAAGGCACAAGTCGGCTTCTTCGCGGGGCTGCAGAAGATCATATTGGGGTTTCAGGGCCAAGATCTGGATCCTCTGAAGGTCAATCTGGAGAGATAAAGTCCACCATGTTACTAGCGCAAAATGTTTTTATGTACGCGGGACAGCTTCGCAGGTATGTGGAGTCCGGGTGGGGAGTGCATATATATATATCGACAGTCATTAGGAGTGACTTGAAAGACAATTTTAATTCAACACCCCCTCGAATAAAAGAAAGAGAATGATACTTTATTTGACCAATCAAGTCAACCTGCACCTACAGTGGTGTTGATAGTGGATGAACACCTTCAAGGATCCACCAGAGCTTTGAGCATAGACTCGGAGCCTTCCCTTCCAGCGCATGAGCCTTCCGCTCTAACAGAAGTCAAAGAAGATATTTTCCTCGTTCGAAGGTTGCTTAGTGAGATCGACAACTGGCACCATAGCCTGGAACAGAGCCGAATTCTTCGGATGAAGAACAAAATCGCGAATGTGCACTCGATGGAAGTTTCTGTTTTCCAGCAAATCCACGGAAACCCTGCAACCCGGGCTCTTCATGGCCCTGTCTTCAGATACAGGAACTCTTGTTTTCCTAGGACTTTCTAAGAAGCCCTACACAACAGCAACCTCGCCTAGTGTCGCCTACAGCCGATATGGAAGGACTAGAGGAAGATCATCCTTCAAGCAGCATTCAGAATAATACAATGGTAGTCGCCCCCTGAATAGAAAAATTGTATGAATGATAGAGCACCGATGTGCGACCATAATGTCGCTCATCCACCTGGTTTGCCAGAGCACCAGGTTATGCGATTTTTCAATAACGTAGGTGCTCTTGCCATGAAGCACAGCAACAATCTGAAGCGAGCAACATCATGCGACTTGAGAGAACAAATTACGGTCAAGCCCCTGGGGAGCAATATCGGAACAGTAACAGGTACCAGAAAATAGCCCTTTACAAGAAGAGATTGGATTGGCGTGGAAAATGAAGTTGATGGGAACAAGGAATGTTTGACACTGACTCGGTTAACGAGTACTAGTTTTGATTGACATTAAAGCATGCGTATATTGTATGTCACAGTTGATCCTATCCGAATTGGGAAATAACCACCGGTGGCGAACATCACCAGATTGGCACAACATAAGACAGGTGGCATTGATGAGAAAAGACACACCGATCGATCTCGATCGGAAGTAGGTCTAGACCGATTTCGAGATTGCGTAAATATTATTATTATTTTATATCTCGCGGGGTTCAGCTAGGCAAATATATATACAGGGGAAGTGCCAGGTTTGGATATACCGTGCAATATATTTTTCCAGCTTCCCCATATTGGTATGATCTTAGTGCAATATAATCATACAGTATAGAGACGATCGATCTAAAAAAAGAAGAATGGACCGACGCCAAGACATGGAGGCAAATCTTGATTTCGGAAGTTAACAACCGGAGAATATGCACTGTGTAGTTGTCGCACGACTTATAACATATTACCCATATGCATGGTATAGAATTAGTCGACAATACTAGCATTTTGACGAGTGATATAAATTAGCCCGATGTTAACAATGTTCCTTGAATTATGGCAATGATATCAGCCAATGACTTGTGTGGCTGAACTCTCCACCCGAATAGATTAAAATGATCTCATACCAGGCCTACGCTCATACTATGTCTGACAGGGGTTCCGACCGTGTCCCTATTTTGCTTGTTACTACTGTACTCTGTATATTGTAGCTGAATAGACAACTTTATGAATATATGGAGTCGGACAAATATCGTAGGTGGTTCGTGAAAATCGTCATCTGTTGAACAAAATACTTATTGCGTGGGGTGAATGGCTGGTATCTTGTATCTTAAATGCTCACGTGGAGATATATTAAGTTTGTGGAGCGTTGCACTGTTCAAGAGTTTTGCTATACCGTCTGATGTAATGATGATTCCATATGCATAGAGCAGACAAGAATTTATCTCATTTCTCAAACAGGGACAGTGCCAGGGGACAGAAAGTGACAGGTAGAGGCAAATTCCATAGTGGACACCGGACGCTGTTTCTCTGCTCGATCTCTGATTTGTTCGCTGATTTCTTTTCCACGTTTACTATAGCGTGGCTTCGGGGAGCATCCATGGCACTGTCTTGATATTCAACCAATCAGATTGCTTTTTAGGGTTTATATGTCCGGAAAGCCTAGAACCTTGGGACAGCCAGGGACATGACATAACCTTCGAGAAATGATATCGCAGTTTTGAAGATATTTTCGTGCAACGAATCCAATATCTATACTTCAAGCAGGAGATATGTTACTATACAGAATATCGGTGCCGAGTTGTACAGACAGCTAACCTCCCGCGTTAAAGCAGCACAGAGCTCCACCTCCACTCTCCTTCTACTCCCCAATTTAGCCACATTGCCCCTAGATCCCAGTCCCGGCGCTCTGATTCGTGCATCAACCCTGCAATGTAGCATGGATCAGCCATTTCCCAAACAAATCTCCACCAAGAAGTCATCTAATCGACCCCACTTCACGATGCCGATGATGCTACGCCCTACCATGCTCTAGCCCATGCACCGTGCGCACTTTCTATAGATTACCTTATGACGATCCTCCCCGAACAGGGATTTCAAGCAAAACGAATGTAGCAAAAGGCCGTTATGATATCAACGGTCAATGACGTAGCAAGCTCTGCAGGTATCGTGCCTGGTTACTGTCTGATAGTAGGCGTGGTTCGATGATATCAGAATCGTTGCACTGTTTATATAAACTCATGAACCTATCTGTATGTTGCTACATTATTATATTGATTACTCAAACACATTCTATTTCTACCCATCTAGAAACCACCACCATCCCGAACTATATACCCTATTCTCGGGACTTGTACAATACCACTACAACCTACGTTTTTACGAAGTATACCCCAAGCCTCTTTTAACAGACACAACTGCACTTGAATATCCAATTTGCAAGCATCTAATTGGATTTTGATTCACCATACCAACAAAGAATTCAACCAACCAAGAACTGAACCAAATCAACCATGTCCTCTGTGAAGAACGCACCCCCCAAGCTAGGCTCCAAGGCCGGAACCCCCGCCAAAGCCCGTAAAGCCTCCGCCTCCAGCGCAGCAAGCAAGCCCAGCACTGCCTCCGGAACCCCCAAGCCTCTGAAGAAGTCCACACCCCGCAAGCTTTCCCAGAAAGCCCCCGAACCAATCGACGACAACATCGAAGAGCAGTCCATCCCCGAGACACCTTCGCCGAAGTCAAAGAAGCGCGAACAACGTCGCCCCGTCTCCCCGCCCGACGACGCCTCCCAGGCGCCTTCCGCCTCGGGCTCCGCAGCCCCACTCGGCCGCGCCGCCTCCGGCCTTAGCGGCAAGGCTAAGAGCGTTGCCAGCAAGACAAAGGAAACAGCAGAGCAAGGTGCCGAGACTGTCCAAGATGGCGCGAAGGACGCCACTGATAACCTGCCGGAACCATTTGACCTTTCCGCATTGAAGGGTCTTGAGGTCGCCGAGGGTGGGGAGATCCTTGGAAAGAACGGAAACCCCATCGGCAAGGTTGTCGAGGGTGACGCTGAGGATCTTGTCGGACAGACTGTCGGCGATGACGGCGAGATTCTCGACGAAGATGGCGATCTGATTGGTCGTGTTGATATCCTGCACGAAGTCGCCGATCAGGCTAAGCATGCCGCTGAGGATGCACAGGAGAACGTCGGCGAGGTTGACCTGGAGAATGTTGTTACGGACATCGCTCAGCTTGAAGGTCTTCCTGTTTCTGATGGAGGTGTCATCAAGAACGCTGCTGGTCAGATCGTCGGCCGGATTGTTGAGGGTGACCCAGAAGATCTTATTGGGTATACCCTCAATGATGATGGAGAGATCGTCGATGAAGATGGCGATGCCATTGGCCGTGTTGATCTGATTCCTGTTGAGGAGCAGAAGAAGGCCATTGAAGGCGCTGCTGATGATGCCGCTTCCAAGGCTGATGATGCCAAGGACGATGTTGAGGATCAATACGAAGATGCTCAGGATGGTCTCTCCACTCAACAGGCTAAGAGCACTGTTGATGGCGCGGCTGATGAGGTTGAGGACGATGTTTCTGATGTCGAAGAAACTACCAACAATGCTAAGTCTACTACCGACAAGGCTAAGTCTACTACCGAGAATGCCGCATCCGACGCTGCCTCCGATGCCGAAGACGCCACTGATGCCGTCGAGGGCACTGTCAACGATGCTAAGTCCACCGCCGAGGATGGCAAGAGCAAGATTGATCTCGAAGACAATGTCGATGGCGCCAAGTCTACTGCTGAAGATGCAGCCTCCGACGCTGCCTCCGATGCCGAAGACGCCACTGACGCCGTGGACGGTGCTGTTGACGATGCTAAGGACACCGCCGAAGGCACTGCTGAAGATGCTGAAGGCACCGCCGAGGATGCGACCGAAGGCGCCAAGGATACCGCCGAAGATGCAGCTGAAGACGCTGAGGAGACCGCCGAGGATGCTGCCGATGATATCGAGGCACGTATCCCCGACATCAAGACTCTCGAAGGCAAGGTCTGCAACAAGCGCGGCTACATCATCGACCAAGCCACCGGCAAGCCCGTTGGCGAACTCATCGAAGGCGACCCCAAGAAACTGGCCAAGCTCGGCGCAACACTCGACGACAAAGGTCAATTCTGGGACAACCGCGGCAATGTGATCGGCAAAGCCCAGGCACTTCCAGTCGAGGACGACGAAGGCGAAGAAGGCCCCTTCTCCGGACTTGAGGGTCTTGTCGTTAACGAAGACGGCTTTGTCGAAGACGAGAACTCCAACCGCGTTGGTCGCTTGATCGAGGGCGACGCGAAGAAACTGAGCGGCCGTGGCGTTGACGAGGATGGCGAAATCCTCGACCGCAAAGGTAACGTCATTGGACGCGCTGAGCGTCTCGAGCCCGAGGAGGAAGAGCCCGAGGCGGAGGAAGAGGCTGGACCTGATTTCTCTGCTGTCAATGGCCTCACCTGCAACAAGGCTGGCTATGTCATCGGACCTGATGGATACCCCATTGCCCGTGTTGTCGAGGGTAACCCCAAGGAGCTTGCTGGCAAGAAGATCGAGGACGGCGAGATCTACGACGGAAAGAAGGTCGTTGGCCGTGTTGAGCTCATTCCTGAGGATGAGCTTGAGAGCAAGCCTGAGGGTCCCTTCGCTGGTATGGAGAACCTGTTCGTGACCAAGGATGGATTCGTCGAGGATGATGAAGGATCAATTGTTGGTCAGCTTGTTGAAGGTGACGCCAAGAAGCTTCGTGGTCGTGCTGTCGACGAGGATGGCGAGATCACCGACAAGTACGGCAATGTCAAGGGTCGTGCTGAGCCTTACGATCCTCCCCAGGAGGAGGAGCCCGTGGAGGAGGACCTCTCTATCCTCGAGGGCAAGGTTGTCAACAAGGCTGGCAACGTTGTTGACCCGACCACTGGTGCTGTCGTCGGACGCATTGTCGAAGGTGACAAGCGCCTCGCTGGATGCAAGGTGGACGGCAAGGGCCAGATCTGGGGTGACAACGGCAAGGTTGTTGGACGCGCCGAACTCATTCCCGGTGCCGAGCAACAGAAGGCCGAAGGGCCATTCTTTGGCTTTGACAACGCTGTTGTCGGCAAGGACGGCGTCGTTCTGGACGGCGATAAGATCATCGGACGTCTGATCGAAGGTGACGCCAAGCGCCTTCTCGGCCGCAAGGTCGACGAGGACGGTGATGTCTCCGACAAGAACGGCAACACTATCGGCAAGGCCGAGCGCTGGGAACCCGAGGAGAAGAAGCGCGATGTCAACCCCATGTCTGGACGCAAGGTCAACAAGGAGGGCGAAGTCCGCGATGCGGACGGCGAACTCATTGGCAAGCTGACATCGGGTAACCTCGCCACTCTAGTCGGCAAGGTCATCGACGACAACGGCTATGTTGTCGACAACGATGGCAACAAGATTGGCGAATGCACTTTGCTCGAGCACATCCCCGAGCCCGAGCCCGAGCCCGAGGTTGAAGAGCCCGAAGAGGAGGAAGAGGAGGGCCCCACGCCCGAAGAGCAGGAGGCTGCTGCAAAGGCTGAGTCCGACCGCCAGCTCGCGCAGAAGATGATCTCCATCCTCGGCCAGACTCTCGACAAGGTCAAGCCTATTTGCAAGCAGATCACCGATGCCTGCGACAAGGCCGACCGCACGCCCAAGGACGAGCTTGACGAGGAGAAACTTGTTCAGACTGTCAAGCCCCTTCTTGAGGAGGGCGGTCGCATTCTGCAAGAGTGCAATGGAGCCATTCGTGGACTTGACCCCGATGGACGTATTGCTGCCACAGCCAAGGCTCGCGCTGCTGCCCGGGATGCCACCCCCGAGGAGTATCAGCTTGCCGACATGATCAAGGAGCTCACTGAGACGGTCGTGAAGTGTATCGACAACGGCAAGAGACGCATCGCTGATATGCCTCATGCCAAGAAGAAGCTGAGCCCCCTCTGGGCATTGCTCTCTGAGCCCCTGTTCCAGATCATCGCTGCCGTTGGTCTGTTACTTACTGGTGTGCTCGGACTGGTTGGTCGTCTTCTTGACGGTCTTGGTCTTGGTGGATTGTTGAATGGTCTGCTTGGCAGTCTTGGTTTGGACAAGTTGATCAATGGACTTGGTCTGGGCGGTTTGACTGATGCGCTTGGACTTGGTGGAAAGAAGTAAAAAGCTTAACGAATTCTGGTTGAACTGTTTGTTGGTGGTGCTTTTATGATTTTTTGATCTGGTTTGCTCTTTTTCCAGCGTTGAAGGCCTTGATATTTGTACTTCTCTAATTCCTTGTACTATGTATTATTTGACTTCTTCACGAAGACTAATGAACTTGAACTTCATTTTGATTCATTTTGATCTATTGACAAATATTAATGGTCTCGTAAGTACAGATATGCAGCAGGGTACAATTTCCATGCTAGGTTTCATCAAAATCCCTCAGGGGGTCGGTTATTTCTCTCATCAGATCAAGATAATAACACATGTTTAGAAGGGATGGACATGTTCATAATTACAAGGTCGAACATTCAAACAATGCACCGCCCAGGGTGCTTTTGTGGCAATGCCACCAGGGCAATGACCCCATTCATCTAGGGTCGATCGTCGGTTCTTGCATAGGGATGGCCATAGAGGTGGCGTGGCGAGTACTAAGTCAATGTATCTTGGATGTGTCAGTCGAAGCGCGAGACTGAGTTATGTGGGACGATTCACCGAGGTTACGATAAGCTCTATCTCTCGCGGCGCCCCTATCCTTTCGGATAGTCAGGCAGTTGATACCGAGGAAAGTAGTGATGCGGTTGATGACAAGGACCGCCCAGTGCATGTAGATGACCAGGGCGAAGAGGAAGTATAGACGGAGGTACAGCAGTTCCAGCCATGGGGCAATAACCGGGAAGCCGATCATGGGCAGGTTGATGAGGACCGCACCGCCAATAAGGGGAGCCTGCATCACGGTCCAGAGGGGGAAGGGCTGTCTCAGAAGATGGGCCAAAATGATCATGGTGGTCATGCGTCCGAAGACAAATGCGATGACCCAGCAGAACAAAATCAGGTGGTTGCCGGAAAGAACAGTCGAATAAGGCGAGAACAGCCAGGCGATATTGGCGAAGGTGAAGACGAGCATAGGCACCCACTCCTTAAGCAACGGGGTGAGCGGCAAGCCCTGCTTCTTGCGGGATTCAGCAACATTCATAACACATCCGGGAAGATGGCCGAGCAAAAAGCCACCCAGGAGAATGGGCACCCAGAGGTCCTTGATCGAGCTGTTGCCGAAGATTTGGGGGAAGTTAAGGAACCCAACAATCGGCTGAGACCACATTCCGGGGCCCCAAATTCCAGAAGCAACCATGATTCCAATGGCGATGAGAAGGCCCTCGGTCGGACCATTGAAGTAACCTAGGTAAAGCGTGTGGGTATGGAAGGTCTCCCATGTCGAGAAATACATGGCCAGGCAAGGCACGATTGCGGTCCAAGCACCAAGATGAGTGGCTCCGAATCCCATAGCGGCCGTCGAAAGCAGACTGGCAAGCGTGCAGTTCAAAGAGTCGATACCGTGACTGTACCTGATTAGTGATCCATCCATGGCTTCTCAGAGAGTGGTACAAACTCAAAAAGTTCTCCGAGTCCACTGGACGTTCCGGTTCGGCGTGCCTGTTTACCATCCACATTGTCAAGAGTAGAATACCTTTGGAATGTGAGTTGAAATCGTACAGATGGAGGGGTAACCGGTCACTCACATCCACATGCCAAGAGCGAAGCTGTAGTAAATCCATGCGGGGCCCTGGGAATATCTGGTTAACTCGCCACTTTCAATCAAACACCAAGGAACAAGGAACAGGAATACTCACGGGTCCCACCATATCTGGCACAAAAATCTGAATAATGAACACGTTGGCCACGATCCACATGAACCCAAGAAGGGTCACCATGTTCGGGGCCATCCACATCGGCACAACCTCGACAAAAGCATTCCACTAAGCAAGGACAAGTCAATTGGTCGCTCCAAAGGTAATTGCTGCAAAATCCCATGGTTGTCATACGTAGTGCTTCAAGATGTACCGAGAAATGAACGACTTGTCGACAGCCGAATACTTGTAGGACTTAAGGGGTAGGAGAGCCTCATCGGAAAGCGAATCTTGGGTCTCTATAGGGGGTTGAACGTTCAAATCAGAAAATCAAGTCTGAACAAATGTGTCACAGTTTTCAATTCACTAACCTTGGACCATTCGGTAGATGGCATTCATTTTCGAAGATTGGGCTGTCAAGCGCGGAGTTGTAGTATAGTCGGGGAAAGCACCAGCACCTCAGTTCATAGCGAGGTAGGCAAACAAGTGGATAAAATGGACAAAAGCACAGTAAGTCAAATCATGCCTTTAAAAACAAATGTTAACTCTCGAGAATACGGAGAAAAGGGGAGAGTGGAACTCCTTCCACGATGGAGTTTTAGGTCGAAATCACGTGCCTTGCTCCGCATCGGGAACGCGAACAAGGGAAGCTTGACTTGACCAGGAATTTGCCGGTGTATTGTTAACATTGAGTCGCATTGTCGCAGCCGATTGTTGCCCTCGGACTTCTTATTCGCGCTTCACTTGAGTCATCGCTTGACCTCCTGTCTCCTTCAGCGCCTTGCGATACTCGACCGTGATCCACAATCGCGTAATCGCCCATCTCGCATTTCACCGTCATCTGGAGCTCGAATCTGCGCCACGCGAACTACTCTTCGATTTCTGTCGGTCCTTATCATTACAACCACATACTGAGTCTGGCTGGACATGACGGTGGATGGTCTTCAAAGCGCTCCCCGCGCATCTCGTCACTGAGGAATCTTCACGATGCCGGGTGTTGTCGACGCCGTTGGTGCCGCGGCACGCCCGTTTGATCTGGGATTCAATGTGGGACATCAAAAAGTTGAACTTGAGATAGATCTAGCCTCCAAAAGTCTCAAAGGAAAGACAGAAATCACAATTCACCCTCGCCGCAGAGATCTGGGGACAATTTGGTTGAATTTTCGACAAGGCCAGGTGAGGCAACTGAGCGTGAACGGCAAGCCTGCAACAACAAAATACACCGACCCATACGATTCGCTACACCTGTATGGCGTACAATATCATGAGCGATTGACACCAAAGATCCATAGCCTCTTACAAACTCCTCCGAAACCTAACCTGCCCATCACGATTCCAAAAGGCGTCCGCATTGATGAATTAGATCCATCTTCAGCTGAAGCCCAGGATCAAATCGCCCTTCAATCTACCGTCGACAACGTCGATGGTCCTTCGAGTGCCAGAGCACCAGAGGCAAACCTTCCGCGATTCACGGCTCTCACGGTGAACATCGAATTTGTTATTGATAATATCCGGGATGGTTTACAATTCGTCGGTGTTGAGAATGGAGATCGAAGGTACCCTCATGCCTATACTACCAACTCACTCGAATCTGGCATCGGCTGTCCCTTATTTCCATGCGTGGACGATATGTCCTCGCGATGTACCTGGGAGGTCTCCATCACATGTCCCAGCTCTCTTGGTGATGTCTTTAACCGCAAGAGCCACGACGTGTCCGGTGCAACAACCCCATCCCACTCAAAAGTCCCGAGTCGCCAACTTTCTGCGGAAGATGAGGAACTTGATATGTCCGTGGTGTGCTCTGGCGACTTGACTGATGACATTGTCGACCCCAAAGACCACACCCGCAAGACAGTTTCCTTTGCGTCATATTCGCCTCTCGGTGCGCTGCAGATCGGATTCGCCATTGGTCCATTCGAGTATGTCAATCTAGCCGACTTCCGAGAAAGTGATCAGGACGAACAACTTGGTCAAAATGCCATCCCTCTGCACGCATTCTGCCTCCCAGGTAGAGCCGACGAAGTTCAGAACAGCAGTTTCCCCATGGCTCAGGCTATTGACTTCTTCTCTTTATCATACGGCTCGTATCCATTCGGCAGTTACAAGGTCTGTTTTGTCGACGACCTGCCAACTGATAGCCTTCCCACTGCTTGCATGTCTATCTGTAGCAGTCATCTGCTCTTCCCAGCCGAGATGATCGACCCCATGTATGACTCCACCCGAGCTCAGGTGCACGGTCTGGCATGTCAGTGGACTGGAATCAATATTATTCCTAGCGAGCCCTCGGATACATGGGTGACAGTTGGTGTAGCGTGGTACATTACCGATACGTTCATGAGAAAGCTTTGCGGAAACAATGAATACCGTTTCAGATTGAAGCAGGCATCTGATCAAGTCTGCGAATTGGATTATGAGCGCCCGTCGATTTACGACATGGGAAACATTCTGAAGGTTGACCCCTCTGAATATCGCTTTGTTGCATTAAAAGCTCCTTTGGTCTTGTTCATTCTTGATCGACGACTAACCAAGGCGAGTGGTAAGGCCACGATGTCGCGCATCATATCTCGGCTTTTTTTGAACTCTCGCATGGGTGATATACCCAATGGAGCTGTCACCACGTCCCTATTCCAAAAGACCTGTGAGCGACTCGGTCACGCAAAGTTAGACGTTTTCTTCCAACAATGGGTGTACGGTGCGGGATGCCCGCGATTCCAAGCCACACAACGATTCAACAAGAAGAAGCTTGTTGTTGAAATGATGATCAGACAGGTCCAATCTGAACCACAGCCCCCTCGCGATCTCGACAAGGATTCTTTCTTGCGTGACGTGAAGGAAGAGGTCCGGCACGTCTACGCGGGCGCAGTTCAACCAGTCTTCACAGGGTCAATGACCCTTCGGATTCACGAAGCAGATGGAACTCCGTATGAACACATCGTTGAAATCAAGGAGGGAGTGACGAAGTTCGATATTCCATACAATACGAAGTATAAAAGGCTCAAACGGAACAAAAAGCAGAGAGAACGAGCCGTCGCCTCGGGCGATGCTGAAGTACAGGAAGAGGTCCTACTCTACTGCCTGGGAGATGTGCTTCAAACTGAAGAGGAGACACAGTCTTGGCGCTTGGCTGACTGGACGAAAGAGGACGAAGAGCGAATGGGACAGGAATCCTACGAATGGATTCGAATGGACGCAGACTTTGAATGGATCTGTAAACTGTCTCTCGGTATGCCAGGGTACATGTATCTTTCGCAGCTTCAGCAAGATCGAGATGTTGTGGCCCAACTCGAGGTGAGTTACGTTGCTGTTTTCAAGTATCGGACCATGATGCTAACCTTCCCAGTCGCTGCAATACATGGCTGCTCAGCGAGAGCATCCTCTCATTTCCACAATCTTTGTTCGCACACTCATGGATAGTCGATACTTCCATGGCATACGTACCACGGCTGCACGCGCCTTGGTAAAACACGCCAAGGATGAAATTGATTGGGTTGGATTGTTTCATCTCGAGAAAGCGTTCCAAGAGCTTTTCTGTCTCCCGGGATCGCCCATGACTCGCTCGAATGATTTTTCCGATCGAGCGGCCTATATCCTCCAACAAGTCATCCCCGACGCAATCTCTAAAGTCCGTGACAACAGTGGCAAAACTCCACTAAGGGTCAAGCGCTTCCTGTTTGATAAGCTGAAGTTCAATGACAATTCGAACAATGAATACTCGGATAATTTCTACGTTGCATCGTTGATGAAGTCACTATGCCATGCCATGCTCGGCAAAAGTGAGTCGCGGACAGATGAGGAATTAGACCATTTCGATATGGAACGTGTTCTCGAGACTCAGGCCGAGGATCAACTGGATAAGGATGCCATTGCCGAGTTTGACCGCTACAGACGAATGGACGAATGGTCTAGCTCCTTCCAAAACTTATACTCCCGAGCCGCACTTCAATGCCAGGCGCAATTAATGCAAGCCAAGATGATGGACCTGGACTTGATGCGTTTCATCCCATATACGCGAGCAGGCACCTATGACCTTCTCCGGATGCAAGCCTTCCAATGCTTGGTCGACCTAGACATTTCTCAGAGCCCGGAGCTTCTTCGATGGCTCATGTTCACATTGTCGGCCGATTCATCGCCCTGGGTACGTCACCAGTCTTTACGTTTGCTCGGTCAGACCCTAGCACAAATTGCTTTTGGCCGTCCTCAACAAACTGAAACCTTCCAAAACGATGGTTTGATCATCGAGCAAGAATCCTCCACCCAAATTCGCCGAGACGACATCGCCCGACGCCAAACCATTCCCGGCGCCATCGAAGCCCTCAAAAGAGAGCTTTCTGGCGACCCATCCATGAAGGAATCCATGTGGGCAGCGTGCAACTCGCCGTGCATGGGTCTCTTGGAGCTGTCCGAGCTTACTGATCTTTGCCGTACACTGTACGACCCAGTCACCTCCAAGCTCGTGCGGATGAAACTTCCTCGATATTGGAGTGTGCAAAATCAAGGTCATGGCAAGTTACGTTTCTATCGATCTACTAAAGCCCGCATGGGTCCGTCTTCCAAGCGCAAGCGCGAGGATCAGGGCATCCACGCACCCTCATCAACCCGCATCACATTCAAGCAAACCAAGACTGGCCTGGTCCCAGGAACCCCAACTCCTAATCCTCTCCCCAAAATCCACATTCCCAGACCATCGCCCGCACCAAGCGCCATTTCCAAAACCCCTGCCACATCTACACCCAAGCTCAAGCTCAAGTTTGGTGGTCGACCAACATGAATATCACACATTGTTCCTTCGAATATCACTTGTATTTTACCTTTCTCTCTTTATTATCTTTTGTCCTTTGCCATTAACTCAGGCAGGGGGACGGAATCCAAGCATGCTCCTAGGCACGATGTCGACTTAGCTCAATCATCCAATTTCAACACCAGCTATGGCTTATGTTCATTACCTCTGGTCATTTCGCAGTGTATGTGTAGCCGGTCAAAAAGTCATTGGGGTAGCCATAGTAGTCTAACATGCGCTCTGGCAAACGAGCAGAAAGAAAATAGAACAGAAAAAAGGTTTTGATTGTTCCCATAAGAGAAACCGACCCAGAAACTCCCAGTAGCATTAGATCTTTTCCCAGCACTCGGTGATGGAGTGGTGCCTATGTGCGTGCCCCTTCAATCAAAAAGAAACGTCGTAGATGGTGTGCGTAGATATGTGGCTTATTTATCGGTTATGCGCTCGAGGGCCTCGAGCATTACGACGGAGTTTCCGCGGATGACCTGAGGGAACGAATATCCGTTAGCGGAGTTCTAGATACCCGTCGATAGGTATTAAACATACGATCATGCCAATGGCAGCCTTCTCTCCGCCTTCCTTCTCCTCGAATGCCTCATCCAGAACAATGTTCATGAAGACCTGCGTGAAAGCGTTAGTTATTCCGCGCTTGATCGGTGTCGTCATGCTCTCGTCTTTCATGATGCCACGGGAGGTACCCGAACATCACAACGATCGGGTCAGTGGGTGTGGACATACATCGTAGCCTCGGAGGACACCAATGACTTTGCGGTTGCCGTTCAGTTGGCAGAAGACCCGCTTCTCCATGTACTGCAGAAAAGACACGATGTCAGCTGAAATCTCGCGGGGAAAGAGCGCACATGGTGGGAAGAGCACTAACCTTCTTCAATTCAGGCTGAGCTTGAGGCATATTGGGCGAGTTGGTTGGGTATCTTGGGGTTTGGCAAGATTCAAGTCACCGCGGTGGCTTTGGGAGTTTGGTGCAAGCTGAGCCGGAGAAATGATATTCCTGATATGAGATACGCGATAAGAGCTGCCCACTGTGCCCGTGAAGCTCACACGTTCACGCCACTAACTTACATCACTTTTGTCTTCACCGTACTTGGTTGCTGAGTACTTCCAAATATGAGCTCTAGATTTGGCAATCGCAGAAAGCCCCGCAAGATTGGCGGGGATGATGAGCAGGAGGATGGAGGCGCTGCACCAGGTAAGATTACTTTTTATCTACCCTACATAATCTCCTACCGACCGCAAAGCTGATATGGAGACTTGCAGAGCCAGTCGTCAAGCGCCCAGCTGCCTCTAAGCCGAAGCAAAAGTCGAAATTGCAGTTATCCTTTGGTCCCGAGACGTCAATGAACGATGGAGATCAAGAGAGCAACGTGATCCTACCGAAACGCCTCGGTTTGGGGCGCAAGGCAATTGAAAATAGCGCCAGTCAGATCCCCCCAATCGGGCAAGACCCAGACAGGCCTACCTATAGCCACGACTACTTGAAGGAACTTCGTGATTCCACGCCCTCAACCCCGAATATACATACCGACGACGAAACCAGCAAGGCTGTGGATGTTGCAGCTAAGTTTGGGGAAATTATGGCTATCCCAACACAGGCCCACATTCCCAGCGAAGCCGAAATTCGGGAGAAAAAGGCCCGACGCGCACGTCTGGCTATGGAACACGGCGCGGAGGACGACGGTTTCATTTCATTGGACGCCAACGATGCAGCCAACGCTGATGACTGGGATGCGGTTGTACGAGGAGATAAAGACTCCACAGAAGCCGAAAACACAAGACTTGTTCGGGATGATGAGGACTTTGCGGAAGGATTCGAGGAGTTCTTCACAGAGGATGGCAAGATGGCGCTGGGGCGAAAGGCAGAGCGCGAGAAGAAGCGGAAGGACCGTGAAGCAATGCGCGACCTCATTGACGATGCTGAGGGTATATCTGATGAAGATGATTCTGACGTGGAGGAAAAGGCTGCCTATGAAGCTGCTCAGGTTCATGCCGCCATGGGTCGTGGCAAGTCAAGTGGCATCGATCGCCCGAAAACCCCTCCTAAGGTGACATCTCTTCCACGGCTTGCGAGCAGTTTTGAAAGACTGCGCATGTCTCTGGCATCCATGGAAGTCGCGAAAACACAAATGATCAGCCGGATGGAGGAGTTGAGAAAGGAGAAGGCAGATATCGCAATTCGGGAGGTGGAGATCCAGGCGATGATCAAAGAAGCCGGCGACAACTACGAGCGACTTAAGAAGGAAGCTGGTGGTGATCCAACTGCAAAGCTCGACTCTTCTAGCGGGGCTCTGGAAAAGCCTCGGGGATTGGAGAATATCGGTGCTCCTGTGCCTATACCGATAAGGGATTCGTCGATGGCGGATTCCTCGGATTCCAGTTTTGAGGATTCTTCGTAGCGCTTTCCTTGCACATGTACGTACCCACCAGACCTTGATGCCTAGCTTCACCGGTAACTCGATTCCCTCGCATTGTCTTCGTGGAGTCATTCTTGTTTCTTTTGATACCCAATCAACGAGTTCTGTATATTTCCATTCTCATTTCATTATCTTTAGGTTATTCACCACCTTTCGCTGGAAGCTACAAATAAGATCTCCTGGTCACTTTCAAAATGCTAGTCAAGGTACACTTGCGAGACGGCCCGGCCCTATCTGGCGACTGGCTCATGCCCTTCTCGCTGAAGTTGACAAGTAAGTGTCTCGCGCTACTGCAAATCTACTCGCAGGAGGAACATTCGTCCTGACAGTACTACTTCACTCCTAGAAAGCCGCCCATGGTCAATCACAGTTCATCATCGGACCATAACCTTGAGCGGGGGACGATGTGAGGTCTTTCCTTTATTTCCAGCTGCGCCAACGCACACGACCGCGCGCAGCGTCCCTTTGTACAGCGACAACTCATCTGACGGATGAGTGCAATATCGAACATTCAAAATCAACCGTCGTGTGCACGCAGTGCCGCACAGAGTTTGACTCTGGGGATAATCAGCTATTCTACCATCTGCTTTATGGGAGCACCACGGCTTCAGTGTGATGCGAATGACCCGTCACCATGCAATCTGACATCGAGAAACCTCACCTTTCTCCTTGATCAGATGATTGAACTCAGTTTACCTGTTCAGCATTTTGCCTCTGCTATTGGGCATGCACTGTCAGTTATGCCTTCGCCCGCAAATTTTGATTGCTATGACGCTGGTTTTGTGTCAAGTGAAGGCGAAGCAACATACACCGGGAATACCTCTCGTTCATTGGGAACCAGCGCAGAACAGATCATGAAGACATTCCCTCACAGAGACATTGACAGCATGCCGGATGTCACTTTGAATCCCGACCTATTCAGTACATGCAGGAAATGGGAAGAACAAATGTGACTTGAACGGCAAGATGACCTGATAGCCCATCTCGTGAGAGATCCTTCTGAAGACGATCCACCTTACTATTTTCAATCACTAGAACTAGATTCTGAACCCGAACAGTCTCTCTGCTTTATGCTCGGCTCGCTGTGCCATAATGCAGCAACGAATCTATTATGAACAAGATTCGCGGTTCAGATTACTTCCACGGGAGTTTTTTATGCTTGTCTGACGGTAATCAGAAATATTGGTCTAAGGAAGCTGATAACAAAAGTTGAACGAATCAAGGAAAGGGAAGCGGCGCTGAAGAAAAATTTCTCGCCTTCGAGGCAAGACATAAGATGATGACTGGAACGTTACGCATCACTTCCTGGATAGGGGGAGCCATAATCAGATCGAGGGCAAACAGCATGCCCTCAATTCCTCTTGAAACCCGACGTTTTACCTCCTGCTTTCACCATAATCTCACTCCATTCCCGACTTGACTTCACTTCATCCATCCCTCACTTCTTTCCTTTGAACATTCACATGACTTCGCGTTGAGGCACAACAACCGTGCCCGGATGAGAGTATCATTCGTCGCGTTGAGCGGGGCTTGTTCGACCAATTTCTTATGAGGAATTTATTCGATATCTTGATAGCTTAATCAATCGAGCTGCGCATCATTCTTTTGTGAGCGGTCTTCTTGAGGTATTAGATGCCAATGTATTCACCCGCATTCTAAGGGAACAGCCTACTACCACCTCACGAGCATTTAGGTGCGGCCGGCCGGGACCATCTCGTCGCCTACGTATGAGTTTTACCTATACGTACGTAGTACTCCGTGCGTTTCTATTTACCAATCACTCAAATTACGCACTTTTTACTCAACTTTCTCACAGAAACGCTGACCTTGCCTGATAACAATGTTTAGCTTGGTGTAGTATAGAGGTTCTTATCGCTGTATTGTAAATACCGGACAAACCAATACGCCGGTGCTTGTTTATTACAAGCCCTAATCGTTCGATCGTTGCTAGCTCGGTGCCCCGCGTCCAACTCATTCCCCTGGAAATAATCGTTTTCTCTCTTGCTTTGAACTTCAAAATAGGCAATTGAACAGCATGGAAGTTTTTAAGCTCATCCTTCCCGATGGAGGTACAATCTCTGGACGGTTTCATTTCCCAACATCTAAGAGTTCCGGCCATTTACCGCTGATCGTCTGCATTCCTGGCGGGAGCTATGACGCGGAGTATTTTGATGTCGATGAAGATCACACCATTCTCAGTACGTCAGTACCGGCAAACATACCCGTCATCTCAATAACGAGACCGGGTTATGGATCCAGTTCCCCTGTCCCAATGGATGACATGGATGAAGAAACAACATATGGCCAAGCCCAGGGGAAATACCTGAATTCTACAGTACTACCCTTTCTATGGGAACAGTTCAAGGAACGGTCTGGAGCAACAGGCATGGTGCTCTTATCTCATTCGATTGGCGCGATGATCGCCACTATCACAGCGGGATCCTATACAGGAACCGAGGGCTATCCACTGTCAGGACTTATCACATCCGGAATCAGCACCGAACTAGCCCCAGGACCGCGAGCAGTCATGCTTCATCTATTAAAGGAGACAACAGGTGTTGTGCAGTTCGATGAGACCCCGAAAGATGCCATCATGCTTCAAATTCCCATGAATAACTTCACGGATCTCAAAATGTGTGGCCACACAAAGCGTCTGAATTGGCCTGTTCCTCCAGGCGAACTCCACGATATCAATATGACTTGGCTAGACTATTGGCGCAAGTACTCAGATCGCGTCACTGTTCCGGTCATGCATGTATTGGCTGAACACGATGGGCTTTGGACTTATTCTCCTCAAGTTCTGGAGGATTATAAGAACGCGTTCCCGAATAGTCCGCATGTCATCAGTGAGGTTGTTCCGATGGCTCCTCATTGTATCGAGTTGAGCCTCCAGAGCAGACCCTGGTACATGAAATGCTGCTCTTTTGCATTGCAGTGCGCGACTTGGGATGTGTTGCGCCCGACTTTGCCTCCTCCCACTCTGCCTGTGCCTATGCAAAAGGAGGAAGATGAAATCGATTCCGAGACAGAGATTGCCCCGCCCCAGGGTGGTATTACCACCCTCGTCTATGCAACAACACGCTATGAAGCCAGGGAAACCTGAGAGGACTGAACGTCGCGTTACATGCATGTACACAATGTTATATCCATATATGTATATATGTTTTGAATCATTTCTTCATGACCCACTTCAGTCTTCGAACTTGAGCGATTCGAAAGAATCAAGTATCACTTCACCACCCCAAGCTGATACATTCTCCATCAGCTTTTGTATCTAGCCATATTTCAGGGTTGCGTGATTCTCATCCTCAGTCTTGGGAGTACATTTGATAATTCAACTCCAAAATAAAAGACGAACCTGAGCATTAGACAAGCTACGGAGCATTGTTTCATTCTGCTTTATTATTTCGAAGTAACTCATAGGAACGTCAAGACCCTTATTTTCGTCCCGATACATACAAAACAGACTCTAATAGGCAACCAACGAGTGTAGGTACCATTTCCGGAAGCACTGCACTATCTGAACAGTGATATATCCTGCGTGCATGATATGGTCATTGATCTCATATACGATTTCACGGTCAGTTGCTGCTTTAGTTTAGATATTAAAATAGAGGGAGAGGTAATTTTGCTTAGCATACACCAACTACTGTATATATATCATGGTGGTAATATTGCGGTACACGTATGATTTTTTAATTGTTACTATCTGTTCCATATTCCATCTTGTGGTCTATATTGATCTATTAGGGATCAAATGTATAGCCTACCCCCCAGTTCGCGTTATGTTCTCTATTCCCTCATTGCATTGTCCGAGAATCTCCAACTGCCTACTTGATATTCTACACTCTTCCATGACCTCCCGACCATTTTGTACCCCTTAACTGCGAGACTTTGAATTGTTCATTCCTTCAGTGACCCAGAATGTACTTTCATTGAAACTGCCCCTTGTTGACCGACTCTTGACTGTAAACCCGGAACAAGGCAGCTGGCCGACAGAAGCGGGAACGCGATAGGGAGTTCAAACGTCTGGCCTATGCGTCGGGGATGGCCAAACTGACTAACCCCTCTGAGGCAAGTCCTACTAAGAAGCGGTATCCCTATGATCTCCGTAGGAGCAATTGATCTAGTATATATACCTCATGTATTTCATGGCCTCGAGATATAAGGGCGACTTTCCCCCTAGTTTTGCGCTCTATCCAACTCCCGTGGAAATGGGCTTACGTTGTGTTCTCCTCATCAATATCAATAACAGAACAACCATCAAAGTGATTGAGAGCGGGAAAGTAACAGTTTGCCAACTGCTACTTCTTGCTCAATGAGTAACACCCCTCTGGTATGGCAGGCTAGAGGAATTATTACCGGCTCTAGGCATCGTAATCCACAATTTCCTGCTTTAAAAATGCCGCAAATTTCCCGAAACCTTTGATAGGAGGTAAAATCTTGTGAGACAAAAACCAACATTGTGTCACGATGTGATTTTTTTTAACTGGAAGTTGTTAGCGCAGTAACCGCGATAGTGCATAACTACATGCCAGCACGCCACAACCTGGAATGTAGTAGGCTGGATGTTCCTCCCACCTCTGAACTGAGTCTCATGTCTCATCTAGAAACCGTATTCCTAGTCTGCAACAAGATAGATTTGTCTCTGTTGGGAAGGAGCCGAGTCTTTATTTGTTGGTGAAGAAGAATCCCTCAGCTTCTATGTCTCAACACCAAAACTATCACAGTGTTTTTGTTTCTGTTTTTGACCAATGAGCTGATGGGCTTCAATTCACTGATCTACCTGGCATATTTTAGAGCTGAGAAATTACAAATAAACTACACTAAAGCACACACTAAAGTACCTACCCACAACCCCGGTATCCGGGATCCGCGAGCCCTAATTCATCCAATCAATAACCAACAGACAAACAGCGGATGAACCAACAGGCTGCCGAGAGACTCCTTTCAAATTAGACAACACCAACCTCTCCTTGCTTTTTTTTTCCAGTTTTTTTCCAGCTTGTTTTAGGTCTCCACCGATCATCCTCAGGTCCACTGTTCGTATCAACACCATCCAGTCTGTTTCCATCCCGCCCCTTCCCCAGATTTGTTTCACATTTTATCTGGGCCTTATGCTGCCTGACATATATGATCAACCGGGTAACGGTCTCAAGGGAAGAACAAATACTAGATCTGCGATCATGCTTCGCATATGCGGGAAATGAAGCCTGGTGATCAATCCAACACCTGGAACCTGGGACAGGGAAATCCCAAACCCACTAGGGCGGCAACTCCACAGATATGTAACACCAACAGATCACTGCTTCAAAGAAACGAATTTCCCTCGGAAATCTTCCACATCAAGCAGGATCTGAGATTCTTCCCCTAGCTAGGGGACCGGACGGAATCTTTGCGCGTTCGTGCTGCTGCAGGCTCGTTTTCTATCTTTCCGGTTTCAACACCACCTAGGCCACCCCAGCGGTTATTAAGAACCCACTTTTGAACAGACCCGTTTTTAGAATGGGGGAGATCCGGGGGAATGGGCCCGGAGCTTTTTTTTTTCTAAGTTCGTGATGTTTATTTATATTTTGCTCGGCAGTTGTAGACGATAGGGCCCCATTTTGTTTTGTCATTCAAATCACTTCAATGATTCTTCTCTAGTCCAAGGACCACCCAAGAGAGCATATCCTAGTTAGACTCTCGTCAATTTCCGATCCTTAATCTTATAGGGCCTTTCATGAAATGATGTTGGCACTATAAACTTCCGTGTTGGACGCTAGAGCCTTAAAAGACTAGATAGATCACGCCCCTCGGCAAAATCTGCTCCAGCTAGCTTCCCACTAGGAAATTGCTTCTATCACTATCCTAGTCACGTTGCTTTTTCTCAAGCAGGTTGGATCAGCCCCATTGATTCGATTGGCCCGGATGCCACTTGGCCTTCCCCAGAAGCTCTCTGTGGCTACCCGATCAGGATGGAACATTGCAAAACTGGCGGAGCCACTGCCAAGTCATAGAGCTTTAGCCAGTTTGTCGATCAGGTAGACGTGCAGACGGATGCATAGCCCTAATCAGGGTTGTACATGGTGGATCTCAACGATGTCCGCAACATGCTATGTTGGGACCGTTGCCAACGGGGATGCAGTTCCGGAGCCAATTCACACAGCAATGGGTATGAGATAAAATGAAGATATACGGAAAGAAAAGCAAAGGCTCTACGGAGATATATTGACCTGGACTTAACGGCCGGGAGGGAAGATCTTCTTCAGGGAGCCGTCAAGAATACAACCCGTCCACTATCCAGTCTCGTTTCACGTATTCTCTAGGCATACATTTGCCTCCCCGAGAATCGAGGCTTAGTGAAGATATGACTCTAGATAATAGAGAAAATATCTGAAACGCTCGGCAAGTGGATCATAGGCATAGACCGGGGTCCTGGGTATTTTCAGACCTTGAATTTCTGACCTGGCTAGGGTTCAGATATCCTTGAGTACTAACCCATGTCTACATTTCTCTTTGTCTCTTCCCGTTCCTCTCAACGCCCAGCGCAGGCCGAGATCCCTCTTTCTCATCTAGAAATTGCACGGGCCTCGATTGAGATTGAACGGGCCGAGGAGCTGAAATGACCTGGCGGAATGATAGACATGCTTCGTGTGTCCCTAGTTCGATCAATTTATGTTGTCTATTAAAAGACCCCGATGATGTCTCTCCCTAGTCTCGCCAGTTTCCCAGTACATCGATATAAACTTGATGTGATTCCATCCCCCATCCTCAACTTCCAACTTTTATACTGTCTCTCAAACAATCTCTCCGCGCTGGGAGCCTGCAACCTGGGATATCAACCTTACAGCAATCTAGAGCTTCACCTACTTTTCTTTAAAGGCTGAATTGCCGACAGATCTGAGACCGCATTGTATTTAACGGCTCGATTTACAGCCCAATCCCCACCAAGATTGATCTCTCAAAAGCCATAACGCCGTGCCATTTCGAAGCCTATCTACAAATAGGACTACAGGAAGAGCTTCGTCTACTTGTTCCACTATTCAAAAAGGCTTTTTTGCGCTGCCTGTCACTCGTGGTATCGCCTTCTGGTAGTCAAGTGTGAACTATCCTATTCATTCGGTAAGTGATGCCCAATCAGTCCTGACCGATCTGGTGAAACCTCTCCATATAAAGCAAAGCGCTGAAATCTCCTAACGGTCAGCCCTGCAGGTCTCCTCGAATTCTCCACACTAAGTCCCGTGTGTAATGGCCGACAAAGAGAAAACCTCCGGAATAGAGGTCGTGTACACGCAGCGACAACCCGCGTACAACACTCGCCAGCAATTGCGGTGAAGCGTGGAAAACAATAACTCGTCTAGCTTTGCTCCAAAGACCATTTTCTAATAATTCTTTTTTTGTTTTCTACGCGGTCAATATGGATGTGATGGCTATTCCTGGGGTGCCGAAGTCATGGATGGCCCATCCGACGCAGTACAACGCGTCAAATGATTATATTTCCGCTTACTCGTCAGGTTTTGGGAGTCCGGGCGATATTGATAAACAAATCTCCTCTTCCCCAGATTGGTACTCATTCTTCTATCCCTCCACATCCACTTCTCATTTGGACCTTCCCCCACAACAGCCTTCCCCAACAATCGACGCACAACGTCCTCGAAAATCACATACAGCCACGATGAACCAACCTCATTTGCCAGGACATCCCATGACTCCTATGGAGGGCAGACGCTACCTGCCCATCGGAGTGGAAGACCCTCGCACGAGTGCATATTCGCAGAGCGTGTCTCCATTCACAACAGGGTTCAAACTCAACAGCACGCTTTCAAGCAATGGAAGCACCTATTGTGAATCCAATCCCGAGTCTATTGAGCAGCTTGATGACCCTTTCGTTACACGGAACATGGAAGCGCACGCTGGGCTGGTTCATCCAACACCACGCAGCAGTCTGTTCACGGGGGTTGGTCATTCCTTCCTCTCAGGCACCGAGGGAACCTCGTCCTTTTCATCCCTCGGATCCTCGGGAGCCCCAGGGAGCGAGCCAGTCTTATCCAGCACTCAATTCAATGTTCCAAGCTCGAATGTTGCCGTCTACCACATGGGCACGTCCTTCAATCCTCAGACACAACACGCACATCTCGCCCCGTCGACCACTCCTCTCGATGGGAAACCCGTAAATTATGACGAGGACTACCCTTGGCCTTTGTGTGAATCAACCAACGTTGAGATCTGGTGTCCTACCCGCTACTCTAATGGCTTATCGGAGGACAGCGACTGGCATACCCACAACCTGTACAATTCATACAGTTTCCCATCTGAAATCAATGAACCTGTGGCTCATGGCTATGGAATGGGCACTGGTCTAGCCATGCCATTTTTTGGACCTGCACTTGTCCCTTTGGACTCATCCGCATTCATGAACCACCAGTCTTACCTGCCCCCTTATGTACCCTGCCTACCTACCGTTGAGGCTCCTCCTCGATATCAACCGACCTCACAGCCAGTTTCTCCCAACAATAAACTCAAATCATCAGACCAAAAGCCAGCGAAAAGTCTCAGTCCATCCTTCTCAATCCCAATGACCGATGGGGGATGCTCCCCGCGGCCGAGTGGAGAAGATCAAAGCGGCATTGAAACTAGCCTGCACTACAGTGACAAGCGGAACAGATTCCTCATTAACTGCAAGCGTCGTGGGCTGTCATACAGGGACATCAAGCGAGTGGGTGGGTTCACGGAGGCAGAGTCTACACTGCGAGGCCGATATCGCACTCTCACCAAGTCCAAAGACCAGCGAGTGCGGAAGCCCAAATGGCACGATAAGGATGTGAGTTATGGAGATGTTCGTTCTTTGCTTTACGGGGATAACCAAGACTAACATGATTCTATTCTGTAGATTCAACTCCTTTGCGAAGCTGTCAACGTTCACGCCGAATCACATGATGGCTACAGCTCGCTCACCAACACCAGCATGAACATTAACGAGTCACCAAAGGTATCTTGGAAGAAGGTTGCCGAGCATATTCGGGGAAACGGCGGTTCCTACCACTTTGGCAATGCCACATGCAAGAAGAAGTGGTGTGAGATCAACAATATTCCCATTTAATTTGATCATTGAGTTCGTCCCTTCGAAGCTGGGGCAGGTTTGGCCGTTTTTATCTCTTTTCTTTTGATATGCATCAGATTTTTTGTTTTGTTTAAATTCAGCCGGTCTGAGTCTCTGTGTTGTAGCGTTGTACTTGTATTATTTTCTTCCTGGTTGTTTGTCTGAATATTGGAATTCGATGTTTTGTCTACATACAAGAGTTGCTCCGCTTCGCTCCGCAAATAATCAATATTATGCTACTGTGTACTAATCGAGATAGAAAATGAACATGATAAACTGATAGTTTTATTTGGACCTGTCAGCGTGGGAGTGCTTCTCACAAGCCTATACTTCAGGGAAGTAAGGTCGGCCCGACTTTGAATAGTCAATGTACCAGCAACGCAAATAATAAAGAAAACAAGTCCTTCTTGATCTTCAAATGCCCCTGGCAAGACGTGCGAGAAGTGGAGCGAGCATCCACGGTGCATCTGTCGGTCCAAGATGAAGCAAGAAGGTCTCGAGGAGGACCTGTCTCGTGAGCTCATCCTCGATACGACAGAGATGCAACCCAAGTAGTACCTTGGTGTCTTCAATCCCTGAGGCAAGTCTGTCCCGCTCTTCGTTGTGCTTGTCATCCAGGTCGTCTTTGCGGTCTATCATTGCCGCCAGCTGGGCAATTCCACCCAGTATCTCCATCTCCGCGGTCTCCTGTCGTAGAGGATCCATGCTGTGGAGAGGTGATGTGACTCCCTCGCTGGTGTGCACTGTCATTGATTCACGTGAGAATGAAAGAGAGTTAGACTCGGAGGAGTCATAGATACCAGACGAGACAAAGGTTGTGGAAGAGGGATGGGAAGAGACAAAGGTATCGGATGTGGATGAGGATGAGGATGATGAGGAAGGTGAGGAGGTGATAATGGAAGTTGATAACATCTTGGTATTTGAATAGCACTGCATAGTGACAGGATGATGGACATCTTCTCTGGGGCTCATGATTGCAGCGACAATTTGCTCAACGTTATAAGGAGTTTGCTGTATTGAAGTAGTTGGGTTAGTCAAAAGGATCTCGATGGTTGGCCTGAGAAAATGTCGGGAAATTCAGAGAGTAAGAGGGACATTTGGTATAAATAGTGGTCAATGCAAGATTGTTTCTACAATACTATGCTATATATTTATGCGATGGGAGATTAGTACTCTTGTCATTTCATGTTCCTAAACCTAAGGGATATTATAGCAAGCACAAGGAAAGTCGTATGTGACATGTTAATAAGGATTTTCGGCTCAAGCTTTGTCAATAAGGCATTGAATATCCATTTATATTCATTCCGTCTTACTCTGAGTGTAGTGTAGGTTTATCAGAAGTACGTGTAATGAAAGGCGTCAGTGAAAGCTCAATGACAATGATACCATATCATGGTCGTTCTTTTCCTTTGACACTTTCAGCTTTCTTTCACCTCAGATCGTTTTGACTGATTTGAAAGTCATGTAAAATGCCCCATCAGCTTCGTGTCCGAGACCTACTCTTTTTTAGAAAATTGTGTATCGAAGAGCTTTGTGCGTCATTCAAAGAGTAATGGTCTACAATTGGAAGGGTATCTATCTCGTGGGTGAGGAACCAAATAAGACTGTTTGGCGCATCCTTACTGTGAGCTTCATGATTTACATTGTCATTATCCCAGCCGAGATCGCAATGCCCCGAGAAGTCATGAATGATCATCTATGGAGTTCATCCACATCCGCAAATTACCAAGTTCTCCGGTATTTTTGCTTTCTATGCTGGGCGATCAGACCAACAATATAGTACACGTCTAGAGCTCGGCTCGTTTCTTCAAAGAATACAACTAATTGCTCTCTCTTCTTCTGACTTTTCATCTAGTAATGTGACATTTTCATGATTACCTCGGTGGTTGACGTCTCGGATTTCATTAACCGGGGCATCGATACCCGGGCGGTAGCTCAATAGCCGTGACGTAGAAAATGCAATAGCCGCCACGAGCATCGACAAGAGAGTCGGAAAATAGATATTTAACACATTCTGCCTGGCCAGTTTAGAAATCAGAGTCTCATAAGACATTTTGCAAAATTTCTCGTGCTGGTTGCCCATTGGCTGTCATCAAATAGCCTAAAACCCTATTCTAACTACCGATCCGATCTATACAACCCAAGTCCACCCAATATGACCAAGCCAATTGTCCTCCACCTCGGCGACGACATCCGTTGGAATCATGATCAATACAGCAAGTTCCAAGACGCCTTTGATGTCCGCCGGTCCTACAGCATGTCTCGGCCGGAGTTTATCCGAGCCCTGAAAGAGCGCCAATTCGGCGATTTCTTTGCCATCTACCGCCCATTTTGGAATACAGGTGGTGAGATGGGAAACTGGGATGAGGAGCTTGTCTCACTACTCCCAGGTTCCTGCAAGATCTATGCCAGTGCGGGAGCTGGATTTGATTGGGTCGATACTGCAGCTTTGGCGAAAAGAGGTAGGTATACAATATAGCATATAACGACGGAGAGAAAAAGGCCAAGGAGAAAGCGGCTGACAGCTTTCCTATAGGTGTCACTTACTGCAATGCAGCAGCAGCCTGCACAGAGTCCGTCGCCGATGCCGCCATTTGGCTCATAATCTCAACTTTCCGCCTGTTTTCCTGGTCCCACATCGCCGCACGTACACTGGATGCAGATGCCTTTGTCGATGCAAACCGCAATCTGGCAATGGTGTCACATAATCCCAATGGGCACACACTTGGGATCATTGGATTTGGTCAAATCGGAAGGCGCACGGCTGAGAAAGCCTTTCTGGCCATGAACATGAAGATTCACTATCATGACATCGTGCAGATGCCCGCTCATCTGGAAGCCGTTTCAAAGGCAACATACCACAAGAGCATGGATAGTCTGCTTGCTGTTTCTGACTGTGTTATGGTGGCTACCCCGTTTAGCGGAGAGACTCTTCTCAATGCATCTTTGCTGGCTAAGATGAAGACCGGTTCCCGACTCATCAACATCGCTCGTGGTAAGTTGCTTGACGAGAGTGCTCTCGTCGATGCGCTTCGGAGTGGAAAGCTCGCTGCTGCCGGATTGGATGTCCACTACGACGAGCCCAACGTTAGCCCAGAACTTGCAAGTATGAAGAACGTTGAGATGATGGCACATAACGCTGGCGCTTCGGTGGACTCACATATCGGCTTTGAGAGGCTGGGTATGGAGAATATCCTTGCCTTCTATCAAACTGGAAAGGCTGTCACGCCTGTTAATGCAAATCTGGTTGCGAAAGCAACAGGATCCAAACTTTAGAAGTCCTAGACAGAATGAAAATTATTCCCTATGCCATTGAAAGCGATTACCTCGTCGATGCTCGACGCCCGCCTGGATACCATTTCGACTTCAGTCCTTTGCGTCGCCCGCCCTTCTAGTCGGCGACCTTAAGCTGATGGGTGCCTATTTATTCGTTGGCGGTCTTCAAGACCCCATTCCTTTTTCCATCTGTGTTCTATCTATCATATCTTCCTCGTCCCATCGAGGCTTCTTAGTCGCTTAGCCCCAACATTGCCCAATCCACACTGCCCTTTCCCATCCTATCAATTGCTTCTTCTTCTTCCTCCTGCCAGGCTTCTCAGCTTCACCCGCGTGTGATACTCTACGCATGCCATCAACCCTCAAGTCTCCTCGTCGACCACCGCAGGTCCCTTCGCAAAGTATGTAACAAATCGATGATTGATCCATCTTTTAAGCGCCTCGTCGCACATGAACTCAACTGACCGCACGTTAACCTTCCTGGATTACTAGGATGAGTACTGCCCAGTCCATGGACATCGCCACTGCTCGCCACCTCCTTGAGCAGGCAATCATCAATCTCCGGAACTTCATCAACTTCCGTGAGATGATTGTCAGCGTCGGTAACGTCGACCCCGAGACTTTCGAGGAACTGAGCTCCCACATCTGGGACACCAAGCTGGAGATTGCCCGTCAGATCCGCGAGTTTAGCGACCCTCGCAGTGCCACCATGCTGACCGACTTCTTCCGCCGGTTGATCGGCAACATGCCCAATGCTGATGGGGTCGTCCCTTGAGATGGATGGGAAATCCCATTACGGTTTGAATCCTGGCCCCTGCCATCTGGCGTGGGCCAGGGGTCCTATGAATGAAAATCAAGCGCTTTCTCAAACTTAATATTTCATTAAATAATAGCTAGGTCAATAGATAGTAAAAGGAGGTTAAGGGAGATCTCAGAGATGAACGAAAAGGTATTAAGCGAGTCACGACACCTCGTACATGTCCATCGTGTCTTGGAACGCTGTATATCATATATCAGTTCTTCATGACTGCCTGCGGAGGCTCGATGCGTCCCGGTGCTTGGATAATTGCCCCAGGGGAGTTGGGACCAAACTGTTGTATCGGGCCATCGTGAGGAACAATAGCCACTTGAACACCACAGTTTGTGCAGAAATGGTGCGAGTCGTGACACATTTGCATGCAGTACGGTAGGAATGCACAGCAAATCCCACCGAAAAGACAGCAGCCGACGGCCGCCAGACTGTCCAGCGAGGTATTAGCATTGTCGGAAGTGAGACTAGGCGAACGGGAAAGTGGGTATAGATCAATACTTACGTTGTCGAACTGGTACTCTCTTTGTTCACTCTGGTTTGAACCTCGTGGAAGCAAAATGGACAACATATCCGTCCGGGGTCTTCGCCAAGTTGGGCCAGCGAGATGACTCTTTGAGCGACTGGGACTTGTACACCAGGTACGGGGCCTTTCTCGTTGGTTTGTGGCAATGTGACTGCCGGAGCCGGAGTCGTTATAGGGTCTTGCTTGTGGCTGCTTTTGTTAGCTTGTGCTCTTGTATTTGAATTGTGATGCGTACTCATCGTATTGTGGAGGAGGTCCACTCTCTGCGGGGATGATCGCCATCGGGTCCGACACAGGGACTGCTCTTGTTGCGGTAGGTGTAGTTGTTTCAGGTCCTGTGGGCGACGGTGTTCCGTCTACTGGCACTGCGTTTAGTACAGCTGTACCTACTGCAGGCTCTGTAGCTGGCTCAGTGGCCGTGGGTGTAGGAATGGGCACAGTTGACTCTTTGTTATGTTCCATAATGGGCGGTGCGTCTGTAGCTAGGTGAAAGAAGGAAAAGAAATTCAATATCGATAGGCGCAAGGCTCTTCTTAAATTACAATTCTGTAGGGGGCCAGAAGAATACGAAAAAAAAAAAAAGAAAAAAATCGAGGGTCCATGGGCAACGTGCGGCTCAAATACCAGAAACAGCACAACACGACACAGTCTACAAGCCCAAAGGGGCGGCAAGTTCAAGCTCTAGTAGAAATTAGTCAAAGAACTGGCCAATCATGGGGGGGGGGTTCCATAGATCACATGGCTTGGCCCCCTTGTCTTCGCCTACAGCAATGCCCGGCCACAGCCCCCAAGGGTCTAGTGGACCTTTAGCTTGAAACGATAAGAAGAAAAAAATTAGGCCTGTGGGTAATCCATTTGAAGTGAGTCAGTATTGGAGTGTCATGCATCGTGGTAGCTTATTTTCGCCGGGGAATGATCAATTTACTTTGGGTAATGGAGACAATCAAACAGGAACATAGCAATCCGGGCCTCACTGTTCAATGGAGCCCAGTACATTTGTAGATAGTGGTCAGAAGTTCTCTTAGAAGTGGAGGAGATTCTGCAGGGTACGAATATCGACCTATCCTGTGAAAGTACAGACTATTGTATACATATTAGGCCTAGTAAGTGTAACACTCGTTTCCATAAGCAGATCCTGGGCAATTGTCTGAGATAGTTGCTCGGTACCGTCGTCGTCGCCACTGTGATGGCAATTCATTACTCGGGTTCTGGCGCGAGCACCACTTCCTTGGCAAAAAGAATGTTTGAATGGGTTCGGATTCTACAACCATTTCTTTTGACGACGATAGAAACCGCGGCCATCATTCCACCATTTTTACGCCCCGACGGCCAATATGAACGAAATTGCCAACGACAACACCACCTCCTTCCACGATGCACGCTGCCAGCCCAAGACATCGAGCACCGTCGCAGCCATCGGGCTCCAAATATGAGTGAAATCCAGAGTCTCGCGATGAGGTATAAAACGATGAGGTATAAAACCGTGCCGTGAGGCAGACTGCCTGCTTCATGACCTAACGGGAAAACGGCTTTTCGATCTCGAAAAGACCGTTAGAAAAGGCTATGTCTGCTAGGCCTAGGACTTGATTATCAGACTGAAACACTAGGATTGTCCGCTCCTTTTCCGAACTCAATTCCACCGCTCTATAGACAAATGGACACGGACAATTGGGGCTTATGGAGTCACGTGAAACTGTGGCAGCGCCTTCCTATCTAGGCAGGTAACTGTCCTTCGGCGGTGTCTTTGTTTCCGCTCCAAACTCCCGCCCGATCTTATTATTTTGCTTGTGACTTGCCGAGCTCGTGTTTTTCTCACACTCAGACTTCACGCTACTAACCAAAGGGCCCAGGATCGGAAACGAGAAATTGTCATTGCCACGCTCTGCATGAGTCTGCGCCTTGTAGCTTTCTCATCATCCTATCACATTTAGCTGTTACTCATTCATAGTAGGGAAAACATGGTGGCTTAGGTTTTGGCTGGCTTTGGCACTGTTCGCTTTTCTCGTGACCGCAATCAATGTTTCTATTTCAATGGCTGTGTTTCAATTATCTTGGTACATGGATGGATGAAACACCTTCAGATATGAAGTCTATCCTCTCTGTGGCTGAGATGATTGATCACCAGAAGCTTTAGGATGAATATTCCGCATCTGCATCTTCGCACCCCTCCATCACTGGTGTCCCAAAGATTCAAGATATCACCAAAAGCCTTGTGTATTTTGCGCGTGGTGATGCATAGCATTGTCTTTATATCTTGGCTTTGCATGGCATAGTCAGAGCCCAGACATATGCTCGTCTTCCAACTTCAGTCCATGTGGATAGCATCTAATAACAAGTTGAACGCATAGGGGATCCAAGGTGCGATTCTCTTTGATATGCTGAAGACAAGACAAGCAAAAGTAGGTAGTTATGCAACTTATACACCTCCATGATTCGTAGCCGGGTATTTGACTGGCATGCAAGTAGTCTACCACACCATGTATATATACAACAACCCCAAACTGTTCACAGCGAAGGCCCCCGAGAATCGGTACGGGGATATCCGATCGTAGTAAGAACATGTGTCAGATGTTCCGGATTCTCGCGCAAAGCATCCCACTCGCTCTCAGCCTTGACCATCAGCGTCCCAGCAAGGATAGTGCCATTCAGCGAGAGCAGTCCAGGATCAACGATATCACGCGCCGCCGCACTGTCCACGGGGACAAGCGCTGTCTCCTGTCTGCGCGGGCAGATCATCATCGTTGAGCGGGTCATGGCTAAATTGTAGCTTATAGACGCTGGCCCTTCCGTGGGGAGGGCCTCGGTGTCCTGGCTTGGTGTTTGTCCACGCGTCGCTGCGGCTGCGGCCTTGTAGAGGGTCAAATATATCCCGTGCAGGGTTTCGGCGGAGGGATTCGATGGGATTGGCAGGGCGAAGTGGGCGAAGGGGAGACCTGATAGGTGCTGGAACTTGGGTGTTGGGGAAGGGGAAGTTGGTTGGGAGGTGAGGAGGTCGATCAGTGTGTGCCAGGACTCCGAGCCCTGTTGGCGCATTGCTTCAACGGGGAGGAATTGGAGGTGACGGTGGGGCTGGCTTGCACCGCTATCGTCGCCAGAGTTGAAGAAGGCAAAGAGGCTCTTTGGAGATGAGCCGTTTGCAGGTCGAGATCCATCGCTGTCGGTGTTCCAGGCCTTGAGACACTCGTATGCGGCTTCTAGGTCTGTTTTGCGGAGGATGTCGGTCTGCGCTTGCCAGTCTCTTGTCACGAGGAGGAAGTGGTTGGGGATGACGGGGAATTTGTTAAGGATGAGGTTGTAAGCGGGGTTTTCGGGCGGGAACTGGGCGATCAGAAGATCTGGAGATGGGTTCTCGAAGGGATCGGGCTTTGGTGTTTTCGGGCCATTGTCGGGCTTCAGATTTGAGGGTTTCTTTGCAAGGGCTGGGCAGTAACGAAGTTGGTACTGGATGGGTTAGAATCGCCGTGGTCGGAGTGTGGGTGTCACTCACTGATATCCCTGCGGCATTGATAATGGATAGATGAGTTGAAGAAAACACGAGATTGCCGGTATCTCGAGCAGCTGTAAAGCGTCTTGCGACCAGCGTGGAGAGGTTTTCTGTGAGTCCTAATTGCATCGTGGAGGTTGAATGGAGAAACACCGGGGCAGATGGCAGAACACGGGGGTGGAGATCGGCAAACGATGTCTTGGTATTTTCTACATTTGTACTTCCAACTACACAGTTGATCAGAGAGTATAGAATAAAATCTGTTTCTTTTTGAATTTCAACTAGACACTCATTTTTTGGTCTCCAATTAAAAGTGTCCCAGTAGGTCCCGACCAGCAGGATTCGGCATAGCCCTGGAGGCAAAGCCTGGAGAGAAAACAAAAGTCATTCAAACATATCAGTCCCAAGGTATCATCCATAATCCGTATTCAGACAAAATCGCTCAAGACGCTGCTGTACCATGAGACGTGAAAAGAAGAAATAGACAAAGGTCTCCAAAGTAGGGGAGAAGGGGAATATAGAGTCGGGAGGAAAGAGGGAAAAAGACAAGAGGAAGATCATTTAAGCCATTAATTCATTGATCGAAAGCTCATCATCATGGGACTGGCACATTTCTGGCAATAGCATCGCCGGCTGTCCCATAATATGAGGCGAAGGACCATTCAACCAAGGACCACGCTCCTCCTCGGTAGCATTGTGCACACCCTCGGCGCGCTTCAATGTCTCGACGTCCAAGTCGGTAACATAGGCATCGCGGTTGGTGCCATCGCCCGCGCCACCGGGGAGTCTCAGACGGACCTCGAACTCGTTATTGAGCATCATCTCGTCTTTCCATAGACGACGCTGACCATCAAAGACACACAGCACACGTTTCTTGGTCTTCATGGTGCTACTGGGGCAGCCCCAGGAGTTGGGGTAGTTACCGCGGTTGTTACGGCGGCGGGTTGCAACAGCACGTGGGGGCCTTGAGGAATTCTTGGAGATGGCATTGCCGGAGCCAATGATAGGGCGGGAAGCAGGAATATTTCCCTTTGAGGATCTGGACTTAGTCTTCAAGCCACGCCAGCTGGAGGGATCGTGGGTATCATCTTCATCTTGGTCTTCGTAGTCGTCGAATTGGTCCACCGGGCCAGCCACATCGAGTAGTTGATGCTTCTCCATGGTCTTCTTGACCTCTTCATCTGAAGCAACCTCCGCCAGACGCTGCTGGTTGATCGCCTCCGATGGCTCTTCTTGCTGCACAACGCGGAGAACGCAGTCGTCCAGATGCTCGTAGAAGTCTTGCGCGTTGCTGAAGGTCGATGAACAGGTTGAGCACTTTCCTGTCGCGTCGGGGCTATAAGTGGTGCCCTTCTTGGCTATTCCGGGGCTGCGCTTCCGGCAGTTTGGCGGGGTTTGCTCCACGCCGTGGACGGAAGTCAGGTGGCGCTTGAAGACGTCGGCGCGGTTGAAGCTCTTTTCTGCGGGGGAGCCAGAGCCAGGACAGAAACCGCATACCATTGTTCCTTTGTAGTGGGTCAGGGTGTGGCGGTTCTTGTCGTACTTGCGGGCGAAGCCCTTGATGTGATACTCGCAGTTCAAGATCGGGCACTTCTCTGGTCGCTCGGACTGGTGAGTCAACATGTGGGCTTTCAGGTCTTTGAACACTCGGCCGCAGTCGGGGTGTGGGCAGCGGCCTTTTTCATTGGTTTCTTCATCTGGTTCGATGCTGCTCAGCGCCGGGCTGGGTTGTGAGCGTCGAGATTGAATTGAGGAAATAGACGATCGTCGATCATAGATTGATAGTGGTCGCGAATGCGACCTGTTGGGGACCATGAGGGGAGATGGTCCAGTGTGTGGTATCGGGTGGTGCTCTGCGATGTCATTGTATGGGAGAGGTGATGGGGCGGGAGAATGAGAGATGTAATTGGGTGGCACGGTCGAGTAGGCAGAGGTGGATTGGTCGGGATATGAAATAGTCGGGGTAATTCCAGGTCCTTGTTGCGCCGGTTGGATCAATGAGGGATCTAGTATACATTGTTAGTATACCTGATAACTTTGGCCATTGATTCAAAAACATACCGACGAAAGGGTCCGGGAATTTTTCTTGATAGGGCATCTCCATTTCCAATGTGCTCCCCATGTACTCTTGAGAGAAAAGGTCGTTCATCACTGCGGCTTGTAGACCTAATCCGTGATTCGTATTCACCCAGGTCTCCTGGAACGCCTGTGCGGTACCCGAGTACGGAGATCCCATGGCAGAAGAAGATGCGCTGGCAATAGACTGCCCTGATGTAGCGGATCCAGTAGGAATGTATGGCTCCGCGGAGTGAGAGGCTGAGATTGAAGGGGGTGTAGCGGGTATAGAAGAAAAATAAGTAGGGTTTTGCAGATCTGCAGACTCCAACAAAGGGTGGGTATCGTAGTAGGAATGCGAAGCATGGGACATATCATGGCCCTGTGTGTAGTTTGGGAGACCCTCGACGGGGAAGAACATGGAGGCATCCATGGTCATGGGATCGAAGTATGGGAGCTGCTTAGGTCTGGCAGCTTCAACAGCCATCATCTTGGATCGGGCGTGGAAAGGAAAAAGAGTGAAGTCAGGGTTGGATTCGAAAGTCGTCATGTCTGCGATTCAGAAATGTAATGCGCGATGGCGATCCTAGACACGAAATACCGGTCAGTACATGTTATCGAGGGTTCCAAACTCGCGACGCATGGACATACCGGTGATAAGGTTTCTGGGTAAGATCGCGGCCCGCTCGGCTAACCAAAGATGCCAACCACAAAAATATGAGGCAACGTGCGCAATTGACAGAACAAGTTATGCAATGAGGTAAGGAGGTACACTATGTCGCAAGGGCAGGGAGGTATCATTCAAATTGCAACTCCACAGACACGGGTAGCGAAATAATGTCGATCGACAGTCAAGAAAGAGTCGAGGGAGACAAGGTTAGTCAAGTGTATTCCCGAAATCGAAGACGCTGGATCATGAGTCGAGGCAATGGTTCAGATTCATGACAGGCTGGGGGGAAGAGAGGATATTATAGATGTCAAAGAGGAGGACGTATTGTTAAATGGTGACGATGGGCCCGCCCTACAGTAGTTAGTTATAGGCTTGTGTCTAGAATTATATTTTTATTTTTAAAAAAGGAAAATAAAAAAATAAAAATTGTAAATAGAATAAATAAAAGAAAAAGCTACTCCGTAATAAAAAAGAAGAAAAGCAAATAATATAATATACTAATCTATACCATTACATACCGTATTTTTGGCACGAACCAGTTGAACGTGTTGGGGCTGTGAACAGGGACAGGGAAACTTAGCGCCCATGCAGATAAATTTGGGACTCTCGGGCTATTATTATTTTCTGCACATGGGATCCCTTGAGCATGGGTCTCTAGATTCTTGAGTAATTACCGTCCATTAGTAATATGATGTTTTCCGTCACCCTCGAAACCCCGGTCATTTGAAATCATATAGTAACTACTCCATGTTCCGCACTCCATAGTGAGAAGACTTGTGTACACACTATTCTCTACTATAGTATGCACGGAATTTGCCTAGGCCATCAGCTCAGCCTTCTTCAGGCGCCCGACGTCTACTATCCCGTCAATAGTCAATAGCCCACTCTATAGTAGCTCTGGGTTCTGACAGCTCGCCTACCTTTATCCACTTTTGGATCCTTCTGCCCTACGGGTACGATCCCCGAATATCTGGTCCCGGAATTATTTCCGGTGGAGGTAAATATTGATTTTCACAAAGTACCTGCATCGAGGTCGATCGTTCATCGTGCTCATAAGAATCGAATCTGTCGAGGGCGTATTTTGAGATGAAAAGCAATTATTATGCAAAGTTGCTGGTGCTTTTGCTTTGAAACCCTTGCACCACAATTTAGATTTCTGACGGGGATCAGGAGAAGTTTCCTGTCAGAAAGTCGACCGTTGCACGAGACTGATTACATAGAGATAATTAATTACGATTTTTCTTGTCATCGGCACCTCCGTTCTGCATAGTAGGGGCTCTCTCTGCCGTGGTCTTGGCGCCATGGCCCCTTTTTCCCCCAGAAACACCCTCGTAGCTTCGTCACCTCGTCATGCACTTGTAAACTAGCTTAGATATGTTCCGTACAATGCCGCTCAACGTGAGAGAAAATTATATATATACTTTCTAAAAAGATAGTCTATCCCACCACTCCAAGTCAAACTACTCATCTAATTCTCTTTACAAATCATGGGAAGGTGGACTAGGGAATACCAAACATAAAGTTAGCCAGGGAGAAAGTATAATAGACCCAGCACTGGGGGTGTGCCCTTCTCCTGGGAGAACCGGGGTGCGAAAAAGGAAAAGAGCGACTTTAAGAATGTTAGAAAAGACAAGAAAGGATAACAGTACGCACTACTCCGTACGGAGTGCCTCGCATATACGGAATATAACACACAAATACAAAACAAGTCGAAATTCCATGAGTTCGGTCGATCCCAGACGGGACCCCATCCACTTAGCATCCCCTCCATAATTCGGCAGGGCTACCGTGTGCACAGAAGAGTGATTGGCTCATGTGTGACAGCCCAATGAAAAATAAAATGAAGGACTTGCAACTGCTCGCCAATCAGGTCCCTGAAAGGTCTTCCGGGCGCTCGATGAGCCTTCTTTAGGGTCGGCTCGGTGGGTTCATGTCTGCTTCACCCGCTATTCCTGCTTGAGTAGTGATAACAGGCGATCGTTACAGTGTGTTGTATCAAGGTTTTTTTCCCCTTGTCTGATTGTCCTTTCCGGAGTTCTCCTTGGCTGCCGTGCAAGAGCCGCATGCTTTTTGGTCATTGTGATTCGGCCTGCTTCTCTGGGTTGCCTTTGCGCTATTTCCTATTTAGGAACTCGGGGAAGAAGGTCTTTCCTTCTTGTTAGATTTACAACTCACACTATACCGTTATTGTGTTATTGTGTCGACAACACTTGTTGTATGTCTATAGATACATCGCATATATCCCTTGATCACTCGGAGTTACATCTCCGAAGAAAACCAATAGTGGGTCTACCCAAGGTGGACGAAAGAATGTCAATCTTTTTCCGGATGCACGGTGATAAACATTTCTCATTTTTAGGAGCTTCGATCGCAGATCAATATAAATCATGTCTATCATATGGTA